GACCGGTGGTCACATATTCACATGCAGATAAACCAGGCAAAACTGGGGAGTGAGTCTGACGGCCCAACCCAGGGTCCCAGCGCGGGGAAATAAAGCCTCGAAACACCAATTGAAAACACCTGTGGGAATTGAGGTACCGGGAGAGACTCCCAGCCTCACAGGAGAGTCCACTGGAGAAACCCACAGGGTCCTAGAACGTACACAAGCCCACCCACATGGGAACCAGCACCAGAAGGGCCCAGTTTGCTTGGGGGAATTGCGGGAAGTGACTGAAAGTCAGCAGAGAGTGGAGCAAGCGCCATTGTTGCCTTCCAGACCCCTCCCCAACACAGCACCATGGGTTGCCCCGCCCTGGTGAACACCTAAGACTCCGCCCCTCACTACTAACAGGTGTGTCGAGACAAAAAAAATGGCCCAAATGAAAGAATAGATCAAAGCTCCAGAAAAAATACAACTAAGTGATGAAGAGATTAGTCAGCATGTCATGCACAGTTCAAAACACTAGTAATCAGGATGCTCACAGAACTAGTTGAATTGGGTCCCAAATTAGATGGAAAAATGAAGGCTGCACTAAGTGAAATAAAGGAAAATGTACAGGGAACCAATAGTGATGGAAAGGAAACTGGCACTCAAATCAATGGAGTGGACCGGAAGGAAGAAAGAAACATCCAATCAGAAAAGAAGGAAGAAATAAGAATTCAGAAAAATGAGGAGAGGCTTAGGAACCTCCAGGACATCTTTAAATGTTCCAACATCTGAATTATAGGGGTACCAGAAGGGGAAGAGGAAGAGCAACAAGTGGAAACATTATTTGAACAAATAATAAAGGAGAACTTCCCCATACTGGCAAAGGAAATAGACTTCCAGGAAGTCCAGGAAGCTCAGAGTCCCAAAGAAGTTGGACCCAAGGAGGAACACACTAAGGCACACCATAATTACATTAGCCAAGATTAAAGATGAGGAGAGAATCTTAAAAGCAGCAAGACAAAAGGAGAGAGTTACCTACAAAGGAGTTCCCATCAGACTGTCAGCTGATTTCTCAAAAGAGACCTTACAGGCAAGAACGGGCTGGAAAGAAGTATTCCAAGTCATGAAGGGCAGGGACCTGCATCCAGGGTTGTTTATCCAGCAAAGCTTCATTTAGAATGGAAGGACAGATAAAGTGCTTCTCAGATAAGGTCAAGTTAAAGGAGTTCATCATCACCAAGCCCTTATTATATGAAATGTTGAAGGGACTTATCTAAGAAAAAGAAGATAAGAAATACGAATAGTAAAATGACAACAAACTCACAATAATTAACAACCACACCTAAAACAAAGACAAAAACAAACTAAGCAAACAACTATAACAGGAACAGAACCACAGAAATGGAGATCACATGGAGGGTTAGCAACAGGGGAGTGGGAGGAAGAGAGAGGGGGAAAAGGTGTGGAGAATAAGTAGCATAGATGGTAGGTAGAAAATAGGGGGAGGGCAAGAATAGTATGGGAAATGTAGAGGCCAAAGAACTTATGACACATGGGCATGAACTAAAGGGGGGGAATGTGGGTGAGAGGGGGTGTGCAGGGTGGAGGGGAGTGAAGGGGAGGAAATGGGACAACTGTAATAGCATAATCAATAACATATATTTTTAAAAAGTTAAAAAAACAAAAATTTGTTCTCACAGTTAGGAGGCTAGAAGTCCAAATTCAGTGAAAACAAGGCCACGCCCCCTCCAAAAGCTCCGGAAAGCATCCTTCTGTGCCTCTCCTAGCTCCTGGTGGTTGCGGTCCTCCTTGGTGTTCCTCTGCTTGTAAACATATCACTCAAGCCTCTGCCTCCATCTTCTCGTGGCTTTTTTCAAAATTATTATTTCACTTTACAATAAAAGTTTGCATTCAACATTATTTTGTATTCACATATTCTTCTTATGATAAATCAATCATATTGGATTTAGGGCCCACCCTGACCCAGTATGACCTCATCTTAACCAGTTACACCTGCAGAAGCCCTGTTTCCAAATGAGGTCACATTCATAGACACTGGGAGATTTGGACTCGAACATATCTTTTTGGGGGCGGAGACACAATTCAACCCACAACAGAGCTTGTGCTGTTAAATAGTTGAATATGGTAGGGAGAAAAAAACGTGGAAAAGTGGGCTTAACACATCCAAACATTGTATAAACCAGATATAAAAACATATCTCAGTAAAGCCTAGAAATAACTTATTTTATACTATATATACACACACACATATGAGGTCTGTCCAGAAGGTATCCAGTCATGTAATATGAAAGATAGAGACATTTACTGAAGAAGATACCAGATACAAAAAACACTGTACATAGGACAATGACACCTCAGTCCCCTTTGAAGTAGGCATCTTGGGACCTCACACAGTTCTTGCAATCACCATCAGGTGCCCTATCATATTTTCCTGAATCTCATCGACAATCTGAAATCTCTTCCCTTTCAAAGGTGATTTTAGTTTTGGGAAAAGCCAGAAGTCAGAGGATGCTAATTCTGGGCTGTTGGGGGGCTGAGTCACCTGAGTAATTTGATGTTTCACCAAAACCTCTGCTTGAGATGTGATGCATAAGCAGGCACATTGTCATGATGAAGCTGCCAATCATCAGTTGCACGTAGCTGCAGCCTTCTGAATCATCTGAATAGTTTCTGTGGAGGAATGTTCAAGCTTAACACAAAATATGATGCAGATTCATTGCTCTACTCACTCACTCAGTCATTTTGAATATACTGGCCACAGAGTAGCTATGCTCACTCAGCAGCATCTACTGCCCCCACTGGCTAGTACAGTGAGGTCTTCACTGCTCACGCATGCACACTCCAGTCCACTCTCCTTGGCTGCCAGGTTACATCAATGTTGTGCAAATTGTTCTCATATTAATAATGGCTGGACTTTTTCTGGACAGACCTCATCATAAGTACATGTACATATGTATGTATGTATGTATTTTTTCCAGGTAAAGACTCAAATATGAAAAAGCAAACAATAAAACACTTAGAAGAAAATATAAGGGGTAGAAGAAACCTTAAATAAACAGAGAAGGTATAAAAGATAAGATGGACATACTTAACTATGTAAGGCAGTCAACAATCATAACATATAAGAGCAGGAAATACAAATGAAAGTAGTGATCACTGTCATACGCCCATGAGAGCAACGAAACGGTAAGAGACGATAACCGCTGTTGTTGGTGGGGGTGCTTTCGTACATTGTCAGTGGAAAGATGAACTGTTAGAGCCTTTTTAGAAAGCAAGATGGCACCCTTGTTTGCATCCTAATTAGAGTGACTGCAAGAAAGCTTTGTTGTTTTGATACAATAGGGAAATGTGAGCAACAAGCATTTGGTGTCATTAAGGAATTGTCCTTACAATTTTCAGTGTGATTTGTAATATTTTTAAAGAGTCCTTTTTCCTTAGAGAGTCATACTGAATATATACTGTGAAAATGGCATAACACCTGGGAATTTACTTAAGATAATCTAGGGGGGTCAAGGGTGTCCATGGCTGATGGTTTAAAGCAAGGGTCAGCACACTACAGGCACAGCCAAATCCGGACCACCACCTGGGTTTTAGATGAAGTTTTATTGGAACACAGCCGCACTCATTCAGTTACATTTTCTTTAGTATCACTGAGGCTGCTTTTGCGCTACAGCAGCAGAGTTGAACCTGCAGCCCCTAAAATATTGACACAAAATCTTCACAGCCCCTCATCCATAAAGAAGCATGTTTGGCTAAAGGTTTGTGATGGTTGGTTCTGGGGCCTTATGATATGAGGGCCTATTATGCTAGTCTTCATACTTATCTGTGTTTGGACTTTTCCATAATGAAAAGTTTTAAAAAAAAATTGACCTAGTAATCTCACTCCTAGAACTCTATCCCTTGGAAATAAAAACATCAATTAATAAGTATATATATACAAGGATGTTTACTAAAATAGTTTACAGTGATTAAAAAAACTGAAAATAAATTGCTGTCCAACATGGGAAAGCTTGTATAAACCACATCCACCCACACCATGGAATATGATGTTGTCTTTTTAAAGAATGAACTAGAGTTTTGCCATTCCACTTGGTGAATTTTTCATGAGATCTTTTCAAGCGAGAAAAACACAGTGAAAAAAGTCTGTATGTGGCAGTTTGGTTTTTGTAGAACCATTTGTAGGGGGCAAAATTAACCCCTTCAGTGTGTGGGGGTGAGTGTGTTGGGGGTGCACAACAGGTTATTGACGTGGGTTGGGGTACAGGGATGTCTGTGGAAGGGAAGCAGAGGAGAACACAAACAGGAGAAAGCTATACTTATAAAAACAGCCTGTGTGATATGATCCTGTGTGTGCTTCTGTAGTTCTATTCATATGTATATGTGCTTTGCTAAATTAAAAAGAGCTGCTTTTTAAAATAACAGGAAAGGAGTACATATTTTTAATGTCCTTCGATGTAAGTAAGGGAATAAAAGGGGATTTGGTTAGGTGCTGCAAAGTGCCGGAGAGTGGGGAAACAAGACCAGAGTGGCCCAGGCCAGCGAGGGAAGGAGACTCGGGGGAAGGCTCTGGTGGTGAGGGGTGGCTGGATGGTCTTTGGGCCACAGTCACTCCCTGATCTCAGCGCTGCTTCCTCCTCCTCCCAGAGAAATAATGTTTCCCTGGGGGATGAAAAAGCATCCCTTTGTGCGGGCTTTAATTGCCATGTTGTTGTGCCAAGTGAAGAGTGGCAGGCGGGCGCAGCAGCTGGGCACAGCCAATGCCAGGCAGCACAGCCCACTGCCTTAGGACAGTCTGGGCCAGCTGGCCTGGGAGCACTGCCCACCTCTGCCCCCCCCTGCCCCCACCGCTGGGGGCCAAGCCCTGGGACAGTGGGGCAGAAGGGTCTGCGGAGAGGGGGAGAGGAGTTACTGGAGGGGGAGAAAGGGGTGGGGCCTCTGGGAGGGTCTCTGCCACTCTCTGAAGCTTATTCATCTCATCCTCCCTTTCCCTTCCCCTCCCTCTTGTTTTTCAGACTGTCAGCATCAATAAGGCCATTAATACGCAGGAAGTGGCTGTAAAGGAAAAACACGCCAGAAATATCCTTTTGGATGTTGCTTGAAGACCAACCCTGAGGGGGGTCAAATTGTGGGGACTGAGGTCAGGGTGAAGTGTCCTTGCTCAGCTGCAGGAAGGGGAACCCCCACGCAGGCCAGGCCCCCGCAGGGTTGAGCAGTGTCCGTTGGCAGCAGCTGGCCCCAGAGACCAAGGCCCATCAGGGCGGAAGGCGCCAGTGTGGCCGTCTAGCCCAGTCCTTCGAGCTTACAGAGATCCCACTCCCCTCCTAGGACTTCAGCTCTCCGGGCTGCCAAGTCCTTTCTTTGGGGATGCTTCCTCAGGACGTCAGAGGGATTTTCTTCTTTCTTTTCTTTTTAAAAAAATCCTCACTGGAGGATATGTTTATTGATTTTAGGAAGAGAGAAGGAGAGAAACATTAATCGGTTGCCTCCTGTACACTCCCCAACTGGGAATCGAACCTGCAGTCTCTTTTTGGTGTACAGGCTGATGCTGCAACCCATGGAGCCACCCAGCTGGGGCTGCCAGAGAGGTTTCCACCTGTGCCGTAAAGTCACTCCAAGTCCCACACGTTGCCTGTAGGGCCACCCTGGCCACCCCTTTGGGGACATGATAATCTTTTCTGAGCACAGAAGCAAAACAAACGTCTCAGCTTCCGTGGTTGGCCTTACGCCAACACAGAGTTCACCCTAACCCAGAAGGGGAGAAGACAGGGGCCTCAAGGAGGTTTAGGGAACCAGTCACTCGGAGGTTTTCAGCGCTGAGTTGGCAGTGCCCCAGATGAGCACTGTCATGGGTCTGTGGCTTTGGAGAGAAGTGCAGGCAGCACTGTGGCTGGGGGATCCCTGGGGATCTGCCCCTGAGGTACAGAGTCCAGGAGCTGGAGGGCGGAATCCCCCAAAGTCAAAGGAGAGGCTGCCAGTGGGGTTGAGCCTTGATCTGTGTGTGTGCCCGGGGTGGGGCAGGACACCCGTCAGGGCGAGTAGAGGCTGGGCTTCCGCCTGGGATGGGCAGCTCCTTCTTGCCTGGGCTCGTCCTGGCAGCCGCACCACAGCCAGTCGGTCCTGAACAGTGTGTGTTGACGCCAACCCACCTCAGCCCCTGGAGGAAACCCCCTAGGTTACATGTCCAGAACGGGCAGGCCCGCAGGAAGGGTTGCTCACAGCATGCACTGCGCTTCAGAGGAGGGAAAACAGCTTGTCTTCAGTGGGAAGATGCTTCGTGTGGAATCAGAGCTTTGCCGCGGGATGGGGGCTGCAGAGTCGCTCCCTGGTACCCCAGAAGCCTGCCCGACGGTGGGCCAGCTCGACCTGGCCCCTTTATTCCCAGGGAGACATAGTCCCTTTGCTTTACTGCATCAAGAAAGCCAAACCAAGGAAAACCCACTTGATTTTTCTCAGAATTACCTAGTCCTAATCCTTGCCATTACCTGCTAAGGATTTGTGATCAGTCTGACACAAGATATGAAGTAAGAGAGAGACAGTTGTCATAGGCCAGTGTGCTCCTCCAGATGGGGCACTGGCACAGAGAGGACCAGGGGGCCACCTGGGGCGAAGAAGGGGTACTGGAGGAAGGGTCCAGGATCCCGCCTCTGGAGCTCTCTGGCTCCCTCTGGACTTAGTTCCCTTGTCTGTCAGATGAGAGGGTTGGTTGAAGAAGATTTCAAAGGTCTTATGTTCCAGCTCTTAACATTCTGTGCCTCTCTCTTTTCTTTTATGATTTTATTTATTTATCTTTTAGAGAGAGGGTGAGGGAGAAAGAGAGGGAGAGAAACATCAATGTGTGGTTGCCTCTCACATGCCCCCTACTAGGGACCTGGCCCGCAACCCAGGCATGTGCCCTGACTGGAATTGAACCTGTGACCCTTTGGTTCTCAATCCACTGAGCTACATCAGCCAGGGCTGATTCTCAATTTTTAAGTGGTAGATAAATGCTGAAAAGATCAACTCCTTACGGTAGAGTTGTAAAGACCAGTTAATGATTATCACAATTCATTCTTTCTCTATTCTTTTAAAGAGCGTCAGTCACCCTAATGCCTTTGACTTTAGAAATACTGTCAGACATTCGTTTATCCCAGGCACCTAACTGGTGAACAGGTTGTCCCCCTAGCCCCCACCACTTCTAGAGGCTGGGGACTGAGTCTTATTTTTCTTTATACCCCTGAGTGCCTTTTACAGTGCCTGGCACATAATAGGGACATTAAAAGGCTTATACAGTCAAAGAAGGACGGAAAAGTCTTCTTGCCTCTCTCGAAGTCAGAACTAGCGGCACACCTGCTCCGGCCTCTGTTCCGGCACACTGCCCTCGGGGAGAGGAACTCCAGTCAGCGTGAGAGAGGTCATCGCAAGAGAGGGGAGGGTGCCACCATCTCTCCTCTTGGCTCTTTTCTAGTCCAAGGGGCTGTGTTTTAGGTGAAAACATAAGCTATTTCAGAAACGCAAGACCAAAAGCTGATTTCAGCTCCCAGATCCAAAAGTCTATGTTCAAGCCCACCGCTCTCAAAATGCAGATTTCAGGCTAGGGAAGCAACTTTATGGTATCTTCTAGCTCAGAAGAAAAACAACGTGTGTCTGGGTGAGTCACACAGTTTGTGGCCTGAGGCACGTCTTTCTGCCCTAAATGGCACGTGAGCCTCGATAAAGAATCTAACCTTGGAAGCAAAGAGCTGCTTTGGATGATGCCCGGTTCCTGGGTGTGTGAGGCTGTTTAAACAGACAGTGACAACAAAAATGTGGGCGCCCTCTGCTCACCCCAAAGAGGTTCACTGTTCGCAGAGGTCTGGAGCGCTGACTCAGAGGCACGTGGGGCCAGGTGGGCAGTTATGACACACACACTGTGGCGGGCGGTCCCTGGGCAGTGGGTGCCATTCGGAGTCGAATTTGGGGAGGAAGTGGCCCCAGGATTCCACATACAGGGATTTCAGATTGTTAGGAGACGAAAGCACCCTTGGATGAGGCCAGGAAGGTTTACCGAAGAGTCGGGGTATCAGAGTCATTTTGAGTTTAGGGAAAAGGCATTGTACACAAAGCCTGCTGCATTCAGCGAAAGAGCAGAGTGCCCCGTGGACAGGAGTCGGGTGCTACTGACCACATTCTCTGCCCTCGAAAGGTGCACCGGCACCCCTTCCCAAGAGACATCCCTCCCAAGAGATATTTCCATCTCTGGGGAAATGATCTAACAAAATGTACTTGATTGGGATGAGTCAGTTCATTGCCATCTGTCAAAAAAATTGCCCGATAAATGTACAGATCTGTGGCGTCTTAGTTATAAGCAGTGTCCCCTCCTAGGTAGGGCCACTGCCCCAAACAATTACACAACCCTTCGCAGAAGCCTGTTGCAGGCTTGACTGGCTGGTTGCCCGAGGCAGGGCCGGTGCCTTTGTTTTCCCTGACCCTCCCTCACCATGCATACTGGGCACCCACCATGAGAAGGGGGCGCAGACCTTTTGGTCTGTTGTCAACCGGCTGCCCCTGTCCAGCAATGCCGTGCTCTGCTGGAAGTTCTGCCACGTGTTCCACAAACTCCTGCGAGATGGACATGCGAACGTGAGTTCCTGGGGCTACAGGGGGTGGCCAGAGGGCCAGGGGCCCACATGGGGAGCATGTGATGGCCTGGGCCACAGAGGCCGCTGTCCACTCCCGCACTGAGCGGGCAGCTGCCCCTTTCCCCTGGCCTTTTGGTTGCTGGTTAAAGGTGGGGTCATCTCTCTGAGCAGCCTCTCCAGCCCACCTGAGACCCATCCTGTGCCGTCACCTGTGTCCTCTCTTCTCATAGGCTCCTCTCTTTCCTCCCCAGGTCCTAAAGGACTCTCTGAGATACAAAAACGAACTGAGTGACATGAGCAGGATGTGGGTGAGTTTGGAGATTTGTGCAGGGGCTGCTCGGGCTGCCTTTGTCTTCCCCGGAGGCCACAGAACACCGACTAGGGAAGGGAACAGATTCATCTCTTCCAACTTGTTTAGGATTTCTCTCAGCATTAGGGAGGGTTCAAGGGTGCCCCCAAATAGTACCATGATACCTGCGGTCTTACCGGGGGTCCCTGGAAGCTGTAGAGAAGTTCTAGGGCCTGGGAGCTGCTTCTGCCAATGGAACCCTGTGTCACAACGTCCTCCAGGCACTGGGATTCCCTCGGCAGTGACACTGCCGCAGTTCCCACCTCCTTTTTAAACTGGTCCTGTTGGGGTCACCGCACACTGAGAACTAGCATTCCCACTTCTCAGTGCTGGGGCTTTTTCTTTTCAGTGTCGGGATTCTCAGTGCCCTGGGCCGAGGGAGGAGGAAGGTGACAACATCAGAATCGATTGGAAAGAGTGTTCTTATGCACGCATCAGGATGCCTCTAGATTCTGATACCCAATGAGTATGTGTACGGGTGGGAGGTGATGTGCATTTTGAAGGAATCTGCAAGTTGATTTCAGTGTGTCCCTTGGCCCTCACCTCCTCTTGCAGTGGGGGACTGCAACTTGAGCCCTTTCCTTCAAGCTCTCACCCGCATCTGTGCACTCACAACATGTTAGCAGCTGTGTGGTCCTGTCTGCCCATTACAGACGAGGGGCTACAGGCCCGGAGAGGGAAGCGGCTTTGCCTAGTCACAAGGTCGGTTCATCGGAACAAGGCTGTGAGTTGTCCCCAGACCTCCCCACTGGGTACTGGAGAGCTCTCTGTTGTATCCCTGAACACTACGTAGAGCTTAGGTCTCTCTCCTTTTTGTTAGCATTTGCCTGGTGTGTCTTTTTCCATCCTTTTATTTTTGACTTTTCTACATTCATATGTCCCAAAAATATCACTTGTAAATAGCAATTAGTTGGATTTTGTCGTTGATTTGGTAAAGACGGCGGTCTTTGTCTTTCTGCTGTGCATGTGCTCCACCTACATTTACTCGAATGCATGATGTGTTCAGATTTACGTCTCCATCTTACTTGTGCCCTTTTCCCACCCGTTTCTGTTTCTCTCACCGTGTCTTCTGTTGGATTATTTTTTCTCATTCAATTTTTCTCTAGTTGCCAGTGGGAGAGTAAAACAATCTCTGCTCTTGTATTTTATTTTTTGGTATGCTATCTAATAATGACAAAATGCATGTTTAGCTTATCAAGATCTAAAGTTTGTGTCTTTGTCAGTCTCCTGTATGGCATGGTGACCGAAGAACATTCTAACTCCGCTCCTTCTCAGCTTACGTGTCACTACCGTGTAGTGTACTCTTGGTTCTTTTTTCTTTTTAAATCCTATAAGATATTAGGTTGGCCAAAAAGTCTATATGGTTTTCCGTAAAATAAAAAACACAGTTTTTATTTTCACCAATAATTTGGTTGATTTGGATATTTTGAGCATGTCGGCCATCTCCCACTATCGGCTTCTAGTGGGTAGAGGCCAGGGGTGCGACTGAACACCTTCCAAAGCATCAGACAGCCCCACAGCAAAGAGTTATTTGGCCAAAATAATAGTACCAAGAAACTTTGGAAACTACTTTTGACACGTTCAATCAATCACAGCACCATCTCTGTACACAGCTTACATCTTTTCTTACGTTTCAGTTGTATTTTTATTTTTCTTGGAATTATATGCCCAAAATGTTGCATATTTAATATTAAAGTGGCTGCACAAAAATTCACCATTTTTGATAAGTTTCTTTTTTTAGTGCACGCTGATACGACAGCTGTCACAATACAACCTATCAAAATTGTTTTGAATGAAATTCAAGACAATGATAGCACTACTAGAGCCATTGTACAGAAAAAACTAAATGAACTTTTTGGCCAACCCAATATTTTATCTTAATTGTTTTATTCTGTATTTTTCATTTCTTCTTACATCTCATATCTTCCATCTGAGATAACTTTCTCTCTGCCTGAACAATTTCCTTTAGAACTTCCTTTAGTGAAGAAGTTTATTGGTGGCCACCGGCTATTTTTAGTTGTTTGAGAATGTCTTTATTTCACCCTCATTCATGGAACATATTTTCTCTGCATTTAGAATCTTGGTTATGACAGTTATTTTCTGTCATCACGTGGAAGATACTATTCATGCTATGCTTCCACTGACTTTCAGCTTTCATTTCAATGTAGTCTGTAGTCAGACTCACCAGTACCCCTTTGAAGCTGATCTGTGTTTTTGTATCTGGACACTTTAAAGGTCTCAGTGCGTGTCTAGGTGGAATTCTTTGGACTCTTTAGACCTGTGGGTTAATATCCTTCATTAGCTATGAAAAGTTCTCACTGTTTTTTCAAATACGGTCTCCGCGCCTCCAGTCTGTCTTTCCCTCTGACGCTTTGGTTAGAAGTGTGTTAGACTTTCTCACATTATCCCCCCTCTCACTTTAAAGTGCTGTTTCATTTTTTTTCTACCTCTTTGTCTCTGCTTCATTCTGTGTTAATGTTATTAGATCTGGCTTTACTTGTTACCTCCTCAGCTGGCTCTAATCTGAGTGGCATTCCTTTTTCTCTCTTTTAAAGATTTTATTTATTTATTTTTAGAGAGAGGGGAAGGGAGGGAGAGAGAGAGGGAAAGAAACGTGGATGTGCAAGAGATATATCAATCAGTTGCTTTTCACACATCCCAACTGGGGACCCCACCCCAAACCCAGGCATGTGCCCTGACTGGGAATCGAACCTGTGACCTTTTTAGTTTGCAGTCCAGTGCTCAATCCACTGAGCCATACCAACCAGGGCTGCATTCCTTATAATGTCTTGTGCCCTGCATGTATTTTTGAATGGTCTCTTATTTATTTAGACATACTACACATAGTGGCTTCATATATTATTTTTTACATTTCTGTTATCTAAAGCCCTTAAGTGATCTGTTTCTGGCATCTGTTGTTTTTGTTAAATTTTGTTCATGCTATGTAGTTTTTTTCTGTGTTTAGTTATTTCTCACTGCGAGCTGCTCATTTTCCTTGGCATTTTATTTGTGGGAATTGTTGGAAGTCTAATGAAGGCAGGTTCCTCCAGAGAGAACTGGCATTTGCTTCTATAGGGATCACTTTAAAATCTCAGCTCAAGGTTTTTCAAATTCCAGGCAGAGCCCCTTGAGAACTAGCTCATGGGTCCAATTTTTTCCTCCCTCTGATCATGACAGTGGTCTGAGGCAGCAGATTTTCTGTGTAGTCCTCGGGGAGGACTCCTTCAGTGCAGGGGTACAGATGTGCTGTTCCCAGTTTACCGTTAGTTCCCCCAAACTAACGAGGGAGGAGCCAGCCTTTTGGCTTCTCCGCTAGACTCTCCCACTTGGGCAGACCGGAGCCTTGCCTCTGTCCTGCCTCCGTGCGCCACCTGGCCCTGGAGGCCCAGAAGATCAAAGCTCGGGTCCGGCAAAGCCCCTTTCCCCAAGCTCCATCATCCCAGTATTCCCTTTACTCTCCAAGAATCTGTGTTTGCTCAGTCTCTGGCCTGAGGATTCCTTGTTCTCTTGTTAGTTCATGAATGCCTTCAAAGTTTTAAAGAATATTTCCCCAATATCGTCAGTCTTCAGTGGGAAGGTCAGCCCAGGCAGCGAGCCTGCCTTGTCGTCCAAAATAGAATTCCTTTAGGTCTTTTTTCCTATGTAATCTCTCTCTCCCATTTGCCTAAGAGTTTCTGAAATTAGAAACTTCTTTTACTTTATTATTTTTTTAATTAAGACCTTATTCTTTTTACAGCAGTTTTAGGTTCACAGCAAAATTGACTGGAAAATACAGAGACTTCCCTTACACCCCTTACCACTCTCCAACACACACACACAGCCTCCCCTGTATCAAAATCCCCCACCAGAGGGATATATTTGTTACACTCGATGAACCTACATTAATGCATCATAATCACCCAAAGTTTATAGTTTATATTACGGTTCACTTGTGCTGTGTATAGTCTGTGGGCTTGGGCAAATGTATAATGTTATGTGTCCACCGTTGCAGTGTCATCCAGAACACTCTCACTGACCTAAAAATCTTCTGTCTACCACCTGTCCCTCCCACCCCATCCTCCTGCCCGCGCCCCCGGCACCCTCTCGTCTTCTTACTCTCCCGCAGCTCTGCCTTCCCGAGAATGTCATTCAGTGGGAATCAGAGAGTATGTAACCTTCAGATTGGCTGTTTCCACTTGATAATATGTATTTAAGGTTCCTCCATGTCTTTTCATGTCTTGATAGCTCATTTCTTTTTAACGCTCAGTAATATTCCATTGTCAGGATGTACCACAACTGATTTATCTGTTCATCTCCTGAAGGATATCTTGGTTGCTTCCAGTTTGGGGCATTTATGAATAAAGTTGCTATAACCAACCATGTGTAGGTTTTTGAGTAGAAATAAGTTTTCAGCTTCTTTGGGTAAAAACCAAGGAGCACCACTGCTGAATCATATGGTAAGAGTATGCTCAACTCTGTTAGAAACTGCCGAACTGTGTTCCAAAGTGGCTGCACCACTTAGCGTTCCCGCCAGCAATGAATGAGAGTCCCTATTGCTCCACATCCTCACCAGCGTTTGGTGTTGCCACTCTGCTGGCTTTGGGCCATTCCAGTAGGTATGTAGTAGTGTCTAATTTTTTTGATTTGCATTTCCCTGACAACATACAAAGTGGAGCATCTTTTTATATGCTTATTTGCCATCTTATTTTGGGGGGTGCCCCATTTTTCAATTGGGTTGTTTGTTTTCTTATTATTGAGGTGTTTATATACTTTGGATGGTGGTCCTTTGTCAGGTGTGCCTTTTGCAAACATTTCACCCCAGTTTATGGCTTATCTACTCATTCTCTTGATACTGTTCTTTGCAGAGCAAAAGTTTTTAATTTTATTGAACTCCAGCTTGTCAGTTTTTTTTTAAATAGCTATGTGTTTGGTGTTGCGTCTAAGAAGTCATCACCATACTCAGAGGTCACCTAGGTTTTCTCCTGTGTTATTTTCTGGAGTTTTATAGTTTTGTGTTTTACACTGAAGTCTGTGATCCATTCATCTTTCACTTTTTGATCCTGTGTATTTTCTTTTTTAATTTATTTATTTTTAGAGAGAGGGGAAGGGAAGGAGAGAGGGTGAGAAATATCAATATGTGGTTGCCTCTTGTGCATCCCCTACTGGGGACCTGGCCTGCAACCCAGGCATGTACCCTGACTGGGAATTGAACCCGCGTCCCCCTGGTTCGCAGTCCGCACTCAATCCACTGAGCTACACCAGCTAGGGCCTGATCCTGTACATTTTCATGTGAAGGATAGTAAAATAGTTTTGGTAACAATAGTCTTACCACAGTCTTGATGGTAAGAATAGTTTTGCTTCTTTTTTTGCTTTTCAGTACTTTCCGATTTTTCTATAATAAACAAGTGTCATATAAAAATTAATGTGATTATGAATTTTCATAGCAAATTAATACATTATGAAACACTCATCTCTGGCATTTGGTATTTTTAACCTCTGATTGCTCAACTCCCTTTGGTGCCAACTGTGGCATGTTTCAACAGGGTTTCTTTAGGCTACAGACACAACTGAAAAAAGACAAAAGTCAAATCTCCTGTGGGAGCTGTGGCTGTTCAGTTGAAGGCTTGTGTCCCCATGTCCCTTCTCTTCTGTGTATAACTAGGAGTTCCTGTCATCAGTCTGCTAACCCTACCTTCCTCCCCAGCACCCAGGCCATGACCGCACGGGCAGACTCCAAGGGCATACTTACTCTTTACCTGCTAGGTTGGTCCCATTTCAAATCCCAGCCCTGCCCCCGCCCCCATGTATAATGTTACAGATGCTCTTAGTCCGCTGGAGCCCATCTGGAGGAGACGTTTCTTCCCCTGTGCTTAGAGAGACAGAATAAAGGAAATAGCACATAGCCAGACTGTGATTACTAAGAGTAGGAGACTTCAAATTCTTAAGTAAGAAGCCCTTGTTCTGAATTTATCCAAAGAAAGTCGTCATGTTTGTGCACGAGATTAAACTGTAAGAACGAACAGCAGGGAGTTGGTTTGATAAATTATGGTACATGCTTATGATGTACTGGGTAGTCACTAAAAATAATGATAAAAAAGAAAATGTAAGCAAATAGAAAATATTGCATTATATTAAGAAAAGAAGGCAAGTTGATTCCATTTTATATTTCAGCATAAAGGTAGCGCACAGAGAATTTTCAGGGCAGTAAAACCACTCTGTATGAGATTAGAATGTGAACACATATCGTTAATACATTTATCAAAGCCCATAGGGTGTACAGTCCCAAGAGGGAACTTTAATGTCGAATTTATTTTGGACAATAATGATGTGTCTTCGTGTGTTCATCAGTGGTGACAGTTGTCCCACTCGGGAGCGTGGTGTTGGTGGTTGGGGGAGGCTGTGTATGTGCAAGGGGTACAGAGGGAATCTCTGCGCTTTCTGTTTAATTTGCAACGAAGCTAAAACTGCTCTAAAAATAAAGTCTATTTAAATTGAAGAAAAGGAAATAAATAACATTTTGTCCCCCAAAGTGTTAGCCATGAGTATATCTGGTGTTTACATTAAGGGTGATTTGTTCACATATGTACTTTTCTATATTTTCTGAAAGGTCAACAATGGACGTTTATTATTTTCATAATCAGAAAAATGTATATTTTTAAGAGTGAAGTCCTGGCTCTAGGTCTTTCAACGCAGGTGTTTAGTGTTGACACCTGCTTTCTTCCCTCTTCCTGGAAGGGCCACCTGAGCGAGGGGTACGGGCAGCTGTGCAGCATCTACCTCAAACTGCTGAGAACGAAGATGGAGTACCACACCAAAGTGAGTCTCTGCTGGCGGTTCCGCGCTCTCCCACCCCCACCCCGTCTCCTCAGTGCCTCGATGGCCTTAGTCATCAGGCCTTTCTGGCGGTAAGGCAGCCTGACTGGTGTCTACACCACTCCTAGCTGTGTGAGAGCACACGGTTTGTAGGGCAGCCACGGTCAGGCGGGCCCTGGGACGTGGCCCATGTCTTCCGTACCCTCTGTCCCCCGTTTTGCAAATTGAAGGAGGAACCCTGTCCAGTAGCCCTATGAAAATGTTTTAGAAGCACTGACTTCACTGTTAATAAAAGTACTTCCTTCCATTTATATAGTGAGTTTCCATGCAGAACCTCCTTTTCATCAATACGTGACTTTAGTCAGTATTTCTGAGGCACCTACTGTATGTAAACCTGTGTGTGTGGTACCACATAGCATATAATAGTAGGCACACGGTCTGCTCTCTGGGCGTACAGATGCATTGGGGAGAGGAGGCCCACAGGCTTGAAGCAGCCACGTGTGATGCACGGCAGTCACGTGCGCCTCCACCCGTGCCTGTGGAGAAATGCCGGAGACACTCTGAAGTCACGGAGGGTCACGGTGTTTGAAGGGGCAAGATGGAGGACATGAGGCTGCAGGTGGGCCTTGGAGGATGGGTGTGGTGCTCATAGGTGGTGGGGAAGGGTGGCATGTCAGGGGTGGGGACGGAGAAAACCACCTGAATTAGGGAGCTGGCAGGAGAAAATGGAGAAGGAAGGAGATTTAAGGGAAAGTAATATCATTTAGTGTTTTTTTTTAGATTTTTTTAGAGTTTTTATTTATTTATTTAGAGAGAAAGAGGGAAGAGAAGGGGAGAGAGAGAGAGAGAAACTTTGATCGGTTGTGTCTCACATGTGCCTGGACTGGGGACCAGGCCTGCAACCCAGCCCTGTGCAGACCAGCAGACGAACAGGCCACCTTTTGCTCTGCGGGACGAAGCTCAGCCAGCTGAGCCTCGCTGGCTCGCCAGGGGAATTTAGTGTCTTTTGTCTCCATCATCATTCATGAACTTAAGGGGCAGCTTGAACTCAGGCTCGTATAATACTGTACTAGCCCACACTGCTCAGTGGCTACCCTTACTTCCCCTCGTGCCACATTGATTGCCTGCTAAGGGCCAGAACCAGTAGGCTTTGAAGAGAGAAAGATGAATAGACCTTGCCCCGCCTCTGGGAGTCCTTGTTTGGTTGGGAGAGAAGTGGTAAAGGGAGCGGTGACAGACTGCAGTGAGAACTGAGAGTGCCAGGGGTGGTGCAGAAGCACATCAGGGGTGTCTAGCGCAGAGTCACCAGGCAGGCGCCTCAGAGGCCAGGAGACAGCTGAGCCCAGCCATAGGATGCTACATTTATCTGTGCTGCACGAGACGTCACCCCAAACTCAGTTTGCAACAATAGTCTTTTAGTATCTCCACCCTTTGTGTTGGTCAGGAGTTCTGGAAGGGCTTGGCGGGACAGGTCTGGCCAAAGGTCTCACGCAGTTGCAGCCAGAACCTGGCTGGAGCTGCAGCAAGGGCAGCCGGCCTGCCATCCCTCTCTTCATGGAGGCTCCGGCCCAGGGAGGGCTTCGTCACAGTCTGATGGTTCCCCCCAGGGAGCCAGGGGGGAGTGCGTGGCATTTGTAAGGTCTGGCCTCAGAACTCACAGGCATTCCTTCCAGCGTCCTATATTGGCTGAGGCAGTCACAGAGGTCCCTAGATTCAATGAGAGGAGACAGAGATCACCGTTCAAGGAGGAGTGTCAAGGTCACATTGTAAAGAACATTTTGAATGGGATACATTATGGCAGCAATCTTTGGAAAAGAATCTGCCACAGTCCACCCTTTGGCCCCACAGTTTGCAGCCCTCCTGCCTCCTGTGGAATACAGTCGCCCCTCCCCCAGACTGTCTGCCACACAGCAGGTAGTGGGGAGGGGGCCGATGAAGAGGGGTGGAGTCTGCATTCTAGGCAGAGGAATCAGCTGGAGACACAGGGCATGAGGCCCAGCACACTTCGGTGTTTGTGTGGAACTAGCAGTGGGTCAACGTTAGTTCACGGAGCAGGCAGCATGGAGAGCAGCAGGGGCCTGAGTGGGTGCATGAGACCATCCTGGTAACAGAGTGTGGAGGGTGGAAGATGGTGAGAGCCAGTCAGGACTCTTACCTGCAGGATAGACAATGGATGGAACTTCCTGAAGACAAGCAAGAAAGAGGAGAGAGGGGGCAAAAATCTAATGATGATGATGATAGCTAGAAGCAGATAAGGGACCATGGGAAAGACTCAGGCAACAGGTAGAGGGGTGGGGGCATAGGGAGTGGAGTGGGTCTCTGGGAGCTCTGGACTGTGGGCTCCAAGAAGGCAGAGGACAGAAGACAAGACGGCAGAGGACAGGGGTGTGTGTGTTTCCTTATGTCCTCTGTCTGGAACAGGTGCAGCTAGCCTGGAACAGGTGCTCAGTCAGGATTTGTTGGAGGACTGAGAGAATGAACCGGAACCTAGAGCAGATCAAATAGACACAGGAAGGGCTGATCCTGAGTCAGGGAAGAGGCAGCCCTTCCCTGTTGAAGCTGGAGGAATGGAAGGACGGCCGAGCACAGTCGGAGCAGGAAGCTGAGGGAGTTACCGACGATGTAAGAAGGAAGACACGTGTGGGGGCCCTTGTCGGGCACCAGGTTTGAAAGCTGGACAGTTACTGATGGGAAGGGGGGCCGTCCAGGCACTAGTGGGGGCTGTTAACGGGGCCCTGAGGCTAGAGAGCATGACCCAACAGTGACCTGGCTGTGAGTCCTTCTCCAGGGATATTTGGCGGCCAGTCTTAGACATAGAATGTGACAGAAATCCAGAGTCACCAGGTGTAACAGGTGGAAGGACAGGCAGTAAGAAAGGCGAGAACCGGGGGGTAAGGGACCAGGTCACCATCATTTTCAGACTGAGTGAGAAAGTAAGTGCAGCCAGAAGGGAGCGTTGTTGAAGGAGCTCACAGTGTCAGAGACGGGGGGGGGGGGCGCTGGCGGTGGGCCTGAGGGCAGGAGAGGGCTGCGAGGGCCCAGGGCAGGGTGTTGGGCCAGAGTGAGGCGCCGGGGTGCAGGGCTCCTGTCTCCGGAGCCTAACGTGCTCACACTGGAATTCAGAACTCCGCTTGCTGGACCAGCCGGCTGTCTCCCCTGCCCACCTCCGCCCTTCCCTTGGCCATGTGCTCCAGACAAACTACACCAAGGAGGAGATAACGGTCCAGATAGCAGACAATGACTGATACAACATAATGTCCCCTGACTTTGGGGTGCATGATGTCATATTTTCCTGCCTTCCAGTTTATTTGACTAACGTTTTGCTGAAGCTACATAAGAGTGGGTTTGCCTTCCCTGAACCCACAACGGGGGCTTTGGGGAATGGTCAAAGGACAGTGGGAAGCCTGGCGTGGATTCCAGACGCACTGGGGGTAACAAATGCTGCACTGCCTGCGTCTTGTGGGTGGTCGGGGCCCACCGTTCCCAGCCGCTGGGTCTCGCTGCACCACGGGAGAGCATCCTGGACACAGATTGTTAGGGGGGACCTTCTTCTGGCTCCCAGGGGTGGGATGGGGGCTTCACCTCTGGTAATGGGTGATGGATGTTCTTTGCCACAGTCGGGGGTCTGTGTTGTGTGTGAGGTTGTATGCACTAACTCCACACCCAGGAAGCGTGTAGGCAGGAATTGTCTGCATTCGTTACACACAAGCAGAGTGAGGCCTGCTGCCGCCCAAGCTCAGTGCGGGCAGCTTGCTGGATGTTGCTGAGTTGGGCTGTCTAGAGAGTTTTGGGGGTGCCTTGTTCTGACTTCCTTTCTCCGCTTCCCTTCCAGAATCCCAGGTTTCCGGGCAACCTTCAGATGAGTGACCGGCAGCTGGACGAGGCTGGAGAGAGTGATGTTAACAACTTGTAAGTGGCTGTCCTCGTGCTCTGGACCCCGTGGGGAAGGAAGCCTTTGTAGAGTCTCTCACTTCCCATTAGACGGCCTGATGGTAGGGGCTGGGGCTGGAGTGGGGACTAAAGCCCCTGGGCGACTTGGCCTTGGGGCCACTTACTGCTGGCGCCTTCTGCAGAACCCCGCCAGGCTGTCTCACTCTCCAGGCTCTATCCACTGTCCCCTCCACCCGCCCTCCCCGGTGTGGTGGTGCCCGCCCTCTCCCTCTGCCACTGTCGCTGTTGAATTCGCCCTACTTGATCTCCAAATGGCCTTCATACCCTCTTAGTTGGGAGCTAAGAATTGTAGCTGGGGTGTGGGGGGGGGGGGTGTGTGTGCGTGCACGCGCGCAGGCACTGGGGCGGAAGCAGCAGCACAGAGTGTGGGGGAAGGGGCAGGTGAAGTGCTGGCCTTGGGCTGTGGGGTGTAAGTTCTCTCTCCTCTCCGGTTCAGTTTTCAGCTGACAGTGGAGATGTTCGACTACCTGGAGTGCGAACTTAACCTCTTCCAAACTGGTGAGTCCTCCCTCCCATCTGGCCCAGGCTGTTGTGGAAATGGCGAAATTCCCAGCCATGTTTCCTGCTGGGACCAGCCGGGCTAGTCCCCCTTTCCCTACAAGCTGCACAGCACAGGACCGGAAAAATGGAGACTGTGGGCTCTCTGCCTCTCATGCAGAGAGGGGCTGAAGCTCTTGGGCATTTTCAGAGTTGGTGATTTCATATCTGAGCAGAAAGACCACACTCCCCAGCCCACTGACTCCCCTCTGAAGGCCAAAAGCCCAAAGACAGGTCCAACCTCTGTGACAGCCCAGGAACCAAGGCCCCAGCACTGGCTGGTCCTTTGGCCCAGCCCTGTCCGCTACTCAGCCAGCCTGGCCTCTGGGCTGAATTTCTGCTCGAAGGGCTGCTATCTGGTATTTGGTCAGGAGCCAGGGAAGAAGCTGGTTGAGTTGAATTGTTACCCAAATCCACGTGAGAAGTCCTAATTCCCTAGTAGGGGAGCACTTCCGGGCCCCTCCTGCTGAGGGTTCTGGTGCTTCTAGGCCATCGGCCCCTAACACTTCCTTTCCTCTGGAAGGAAGCAGCTGCTTCCCTTGTCTCCTGTGCGCCCCCCTACCCCAGACGGCTCCCCCTTCCATCCCTGGGGAACGGAAGAACCAGTTTTCTAAGATTCAGGATGTTCTATGACAAGTGTCCAACTCTGAAAGCACGTTCCAAAACACAAGTAATTGTGCGCAAGCTTGGCAGACTCAGTGTTTGAGGATCTAGGGCCCACCCCTGGGGCTTTGGTTCTCTTGAAAGACAGAAATTCTCTCACCATAAATTGCAATTTTTTTCATCATGTTCATCTATAAGGCAAACGGCCAGTTAATTCCAGCTGTCGCAGGCCTGTGACAGGGTGGCAAGTTCCTCGATACTTTGACTGATCAGTTCAGTGCAGGATGTGGTAAGAGGAGCACTAGAAACAGTTGGAAACTGTGGCGTGGGAGAAGGGGTGTGTGGTGCCCACTAGCAGCCAATCTGAGCAGAATGCTCTGCAGAAATCAGTAGAGAAGTAAAAATGAAACGCAAAATCCAGTCCCTGCTCTGAGGCATTGTCAGCAAGGTAGAAGAAATGGTGCAGAGGCGTTTTGTTTTGTTTTGCTTTTAATGCATTAGAAATGTTTGCATGGAAGTATACACACTGTTGTGGCGAACTTTCAGTTACTTCGCTTCGGGCAGGAAGGGCCCATGTGGAGAAGTTGGAATTCATTGACATTCAGCTTTGGAATGCGCTTAATTTGCATGCAGATATGAGTGATGTTCTAGGAATTGTCATCCTTGGGAGAATCAGTCTAGAAGTTGTCACTCAAGTGACCCCAACGCTTCCTGCAGCTCTGGCTGCCTTTTCAGAGGGCACATGCCATGGTGGTGGCTGGGGACATGCGCCAGATGGCTCAGCCTTTGGGGCTGTCCCTTCCAGCTGCTGGAGAAAGAGTGAACAGAGGTGCGATGCCACCCGCCAGGATGTGAGGAGGCCGGGAGGATGGGTGTGTGGTGCAGGCAAATGCCCCACCGCAGGGGGCCAGCTCCCTCCCACCTCCCTTGATAACTGGCTCTGCTTCCATCTACACTGTTCACTTGTTTTACTACCACGAGATGCTGAGCTCCTCAGAATCAGGAACCGCACCCCACTCACCTTTGTTCTAGCCCAGAGCCCCGTCTGTAGCCCGCGCTCAGCAGCAAAGCAGCAGTGAAGAAACAGCAGGTGAACAGAGCTCATGAGATGGTGCCAGCGTCCAGCTGAATGCTCGGGGATTATCTGGGTGAATTAGCTACTTAGAGTTTTCTAGAGGAGAGCTACCAAGTCTGACTTTCTTGTCCCTGAAAGAGCCCTGATTTGGAACAAGAGCCCTCTTCTACATGTCTCCCCTGCTCCCTTCCCTGTCCTGACTCACCTACTGTGTGATGCAAAAGTCACAAGGACTGGTGTCGGAAGGAGCCTCTCCGGCTTCTCAGCCCTGGTCTGTGGCCTTGCAAGGTTCTGACCTGCACCCTCAGCAGGGTGCCGCTGGTTTTCAGCCGTGGGAAATGGACCAGTAACAGTTAACATCTATGCAGTGGCTCTATGATCCGTGGACCAGTAGCGGCAGCATCACCTGAAATTGTTAGAAAAGCAAACGCTCAGGTCCCACCCCAGGCACAGTGAGCTTGGGGCGGAGGCCCACCACTCAGCGTTTTAACAAGGTCCCCATGTCTGTGCTGTCCACTGTGGCAGCCACTAGCCATGTGTGACTATTTAAATTGATTACCATTAAATAACACGAAACAGTCAGGGCCTCAGTCACACTCACCGTGTTTCGGGCACTCAGTAACCACATGTGGCCAGCATATGGGACAGCACATACGGACACTTCCATCCTCACAGGATTCGGCTGGACGGTGCCACCTGGTCATTCTGACACTTGCTGAAGTCTGAGAACCACTGAGCGAGAAAATACAGCATAGTAGAATCACTAGGGTGGGGTGGGGAGGGGGCTTCTGAAATCTACTGATGCCCCAGTCCAACCCCAGACCAATTAAAATAGAATCAGGGGTGTGGGAGAGTTGCGGGCAGACATTAGTAGTTTTTAAATTTCCCCAGATGATTCTAATCAATCTCAAAGCCAAAGTTGAGAGCCACTGCACAGTGCTACGCACTTCACACAACATTTTCATTTAATTATTACGAGACCCTTATGAGATGAGCTATTAGAACCATCTGTATTTTATAGAAAAGCATCTGGAGGCTCAGAGAGGTCGAGTAACTCACCCGTGGTCACGCTGCTTGAGCTGTTCCTGGATGCCAGCGGCGTCCCTGGAAAGCAGCGGCAGGCCTGGAGATGGAGCGTCTGTGATGCCCTGCCAGAGTGCAGCCTATGGAAGCCAGTAGACTTGGGGATGGCCGCCTTGCAGTGACAGCTGCTTTTAATTTGTGTCAAGAAAAGCTGCCTTTTAATTAGAACCATTTGGACTTTCTTTCAGCCGCCAGACTGAGTGGTTAGCAGGGATTAGTGCAGTCAGGGGAGGCTGGGCCCAGCAGCTCCGGGCATGCCTCTGGGGCAGCCCCACTCGCTGCAGGGCTGCCGGGGATGTCTTTCGTTGCTAGCCCCAGTGGAGTTCTGGAGGTGGTGGGCAGCCACTGCAGGCAGGAAATCAGCCCTGGCCTCTGGTGTGCGCTGAGGGTCCAGTTGTTTGGCTTAGAAGAAGGTGCAATAGGTTAATGTTGAGGGGTCTCGGGGGCAGTCTGCTTCCTGGAGCTTGGGAGAGTGGGGGGCAGTCCTGCTGTTGGCCTGCTCCAAGGACCTCCATCAGCTTTCGATCCTGATGGTCATCCTGGTCCCAGCCCCTGAACTTGGTTCTAGCAGGCTCTCCAATCACCCACCCAGGGCTCTGGCACACCCCCCCTTTCGCTATCCCAACAACCCCGTGGCAGGCCACCAGGAATCCAAGGCTGGCTTATTCCCTTCCTTGTGTTCTTATCGATGTTTGATACTTTCCCCGTGTGTTAACTATTGCCACCACCAGACTGGGTACCTGTCAGCATCAGGGTTTCCATTGTCTAGCTTGTGGAACATAGCACATGTTTATGCATGAGAGGAAGAGCTGGATCAGCTATCTCAGCAGCCCCTCCCAATCCTGAAATTCTGGTGCCCCGTACAGCTGAGGGCTTCCCTTGATCAAGAGCTCATCTCCCCATTTCCATTAAATCAGAAACTGAGAGCCCTGGCTGGCATAGCTCAGTGGATTGAGCGTGGGCTGCGAACCAAAGCATCGCAGGTTCGATTCCCAGTCAGGGCACATGCCTGGGTTGCAGGCCACGGCCCCCAGCAACTGCACATTGATGTTTCTCTCTCTCTTTCTCCCTCCCTTCCCTCTCTAAAAATAAATAAATAAAATCTTTTTTTAAAAACCAGAAACTAAAAAGCGATGTGTTCAGTCTCTGCTGAGCCTGGGGGCAGAAGCCACGAAGCGCCTCGAGGAGGAGTCTCCTCACCCAGGCGCTGCACCAGGCTGTGACTGAGTCTCTTCTTTCCCGGCTTCCTCAGGGCTGTGCACAGGGAAGAGCAGAGTTGCCTGCTCGAGACACATGGAGCAGCTTGGCTTACAGGGGCCAGGCTTCTGGGCCAGCCCCTGCTGGCCACACAAGGAACTGTCTTTTAACCCACCACCTCTCAGCAAAACCAGTTCTTGATTTTGTGGCCACCTTCCAGTCCCTTACCTTCAGTTTCCTTGCCTGTATAACAAGGCTACCTTTAATTCTCCTGTAGGCACGGCATAAAGTTTAAGTGCATTAAAGGCAATAGTGTACGCACAACAGAGGTGCCCCGTGTATGCAAGACCCCTGCCTTCGGCCCTCTGAGAAGGTCACCTACAGCTTCCTAGCTCCACTGCCTCTCTCCCCCTTCCGTTTTCTAGTGTTCAACTCCCTGGACATGTCCCGCTCCGTGTCAGTGACAACAGCTGGGCAGTGTCGCCTCGCCCCACTGATCCAGGTCATCTTGGACTGCAGTCACCTCTATGATTACACTGTCAAGCTCCTCTTCAAACTCCACTCCTGTGAGTACACCAGCCAGATCTTCTCTGAGCTTCTGGCCAGAAGGAGGATCTCAGCCTGAGGCTGTCCCTGGAGAAGTGCAGCTCCTCGAGGCCTGAGCTTTCATCCTCTGTTCCAAAAGACCCATCTTGAGAAGAGCAGGGTGCCAGCTTCATGGTGCCCCGTGAAGCACGTGGCTTGCCACAGTGGGGTCCCAGGATGGCCCCCTCCCTCCACCCCTGGCCTGAACTCACCTGCATCCACATATGTCCTGTATTCTGTGAACCACACAAATAGCGACAGATCCGGCCCAGACCCACAGCAGCAAAAGCATTCTTTCCAAAGTGGCCAACCACATGGTCTCTTTGTACAAATGGAATTCTGTAGCGATACATAAAACATAAAACGCTGCTCAAGTAAGTGGAGTGCTGACCCTGACCTAGCCACAGGCCCCAGGATGCTTTTGTATAATCTATTTTGGAGACTCCTGGCCCTGCAGACATTCTTATACTTTCATGTGCTTCTTGTTTAAAAAGATGTGTGTGGGTTCTGCCCCTGCACGGTCTGCATTGGTAGGTCTGTTGCCCTTGGGGTCTGCATCGTTAAGCCATGTCCCCGATGCATCTGATTTGGGTGCTGCCAGGGCCACACCCCAAGGCGGCCACTGTGAAGAGTGTACACGTGCAGAAGGTGTGGGTGGTGGAACACCAAGAAAAATGGAGACATGAATAGAGCACTAGCAAGGTTGTAGTTTAGAATTCTCCAACAAGGGACCCTGTAGATGTGTGGTTACTGACAAGGAATGGGTCTGGATACTTATACGGGACAAGGGAGTCAGCATTGCTCTGATGACTCCAGGAGGGTTTGGTGGAAGGGAGGTTGGACTTCGATGTCCGAGGATGAGAAGGGCCTTGGAGCAGATGGGCATGTCTGGAGGGAGCAGAGGCTGGATTAAATTCTAAGAGAAGGCAGGCAGTTACTTAGGAGCTCTGAATACAGATGAACTTGTAATTGTTTCTAAGATGCTGTGAAACCCAATTACCCATTAGAACATCCTCACTTTCTTATAAAGTGGTGAGATGTGAGAAGAAATGGGTAATTAAGTATTTGGGGTTAAAGGGAAAGCAATACACAAGACCCTCCCAGACGGCCTCTGTGCAGGGCGGCGTGGGTGGGGAAGGAGTGGGAGAGACGCTCCACGCAGTATACACTTTCCTAAAGATAAAATTTTATTGCAGAGTAGTTTCAAACTACAGGAAACCACAGTGGTCACCTCTGCTTCTGTGGCCAGGGACACAACTCCCAGTCCACTGTGCCCAGCATGGCTCACACTCCAGGAGCAAACTGAAGGAACGATCTGGAGCACAAGCGCCCCAGACTCCCTGGTTCCTTCGATACCAGTCCTGGGGCAGCACTGGGCCAGGAACGCCTGCCAGCAGGGGTGGCCACACGCCCAGGATAGGGGGGTCTGCTGTGGCTTGACCTGCCTTCTGTCCCTCCTCTTCCCTCCCACTCTTTTCCCATTTCTCCCAGGTCTCCCAGCCGATACCCTACAAGGCCACCGGGACCGTTTCATGGAGCAGTTCACAAAGTAAGTGGCGTAAGTGATAGAAACGAAGGTGAATCAAAAACTACCATAAAATCAAAGAGCACTTGCTTTAAATAATTGAGGAATGAGGGTATCTGCATTTTAAAGCAATCGAGTAAAGAAAAAGAACTAGGAGGCTGGCAAACCTACCAGTGTCTGGGGAAGCTGTCATTTCTTCAGTAAATCCCCTAGAAGCACGTAGAAGGCCCCGGCTGGTGGTGGTCAGTGGATTGAGGGCCAGCCTGCAGACCAAAAGGTCACCGGTTTGATTCCTGGTTGAGATGCATACCTGGGTTAGGGGCCGGGTCCCCAGTTGGGGCATGTTGAGAGGCACCCAATCGATGTTTCTTTCCCTCTCTTTCTCCCTCTCTTCCCTGTCTATAAAAGTAAATGAATAAAATCTAAAAAAAAAGAAGAAGCAGCAGCAGCACACAGAAGGCGGCCATTTCATTCATCACCTGCTTCATGCCCAGGGCTTCCTCCTCATCACTTTTTCTTCTCCCTATGTTCTCGCAGTCTTAGACTGTGCACATGTTGACGACTCCCAAGTCCGTATCTCTAGCAGAACCTTGCCTCTAAATTCTAGTATCATGTACCCAATTGTGTATGCGACATGTCTACACCAAACTTAAATCTCAAACTGACTCTAGGTTTTCCTCCAAGAAACTTTGTCTCCCCAGTTTTTTTTTAATCTCAGTAAATACTGTCACTGTCCATTTAGGCCAGAGATTTAGAATTTGCCATCTGCCTCATCCCCTACATCCAATCCATTCACAGTTTCAGCTGATGCTCTACAAAGACACCCTGGCTCTGGTCACATCTCCTCCCATCTCTGCAGCTACCGCTGCTATCTGCCAGGACCTCCAGTATCGATGGGGTGCCCTAGACTTCCACTCCACCCTCCCGCAACCCTATTCTCACCCAGCAGTTAGAACGTCCTTGTAGAAATGTGAACCCCTTGCTCAGAACCTTTCAGTGGCTTCTGATTACACTGAGAATAGAAGCGGGGCTCTGCTCCACAAGACCCTGCGTGACCTGGCCCCTGCCCGCTGTCTCTGACCTGGTTTCCAGGGCTCGACGTGTGTCAGCCGCAGGGAGTCCTCCTCCAGTTCCCTCCTCAGGGCCTGCATCTTTCTGTTCCCTCTCCTGGGGACGCTGTCGCCCCTCTCGGGGATTCTGTTTTCCCAGCCTGACCAGCCCTGGGCCAGCTTTGGTCACCACTCTCAGCGGCAGTCTTCAGTCACCTGATTTGAGTTGGGATCTTCTTCCCCAGCTCCTGATCCTCCAACGTCACCCCATTCCATGCCCACGTTCTCCCTCACAGCACGCTGTTTATTTCCTTCATCATTCTTTTTCTTCCCCAAGATTTTATTTATTTTTAGAGAGAGGGAAGGAAGGGAGAAAGAGAGGGAGAGAAACATCAATGTGAGAAACATTGATCGCATGCGCCCCAACTGAGGACTGGCCCGCAACCCAGGCATGTGCCCTGCCTGGAATCAGGTCAGCCGCCTTTTCAATTTGTGGGACGACATTCAACCAAGTGAGCCAGGCTGGTCAGGGCTCCTTCATCATTCTCAGCACGTTATTTCTGTTTGTCTTGTCTGTTACATCTCTTGCACTTGATACATAGCCATTAAGCATATAGTGTTTAATAAATAAGCATTAATATGAATTAATGAGCTAATAAGCCAGTTATCTAAGCTACAAGAGGAAGAGCTTATCTGAGAGGCAAATTATTCCGGTGCACTTGGAAAAGAAAATCAGTGGCTAGATGAAGAGTATAGCTCCGCCTTCAATTAAGCATGCCCAAGAAGAGGGGAAGGAATGGAGTGGGAGGTGGAAGGACCGAGGGAGCAGAGAAGGGAGTCAGCTTGACAGGGTTTATTTTGACCCTCTTGTTTTTCCCGTTGATTTCTTCAGCCTTGACAACAGGAAAAGCATAGCTCCCAAATCCCAAGCTTAGGTTTCTCTGCTACTGGTTCCCGAGCAGCAGTCAGAGGACAAGTTCAGGGTTGTACTAACCTCCTGATTTCCTTGTTCCATTTGAAAAGCCTCGTATGTTTATTCTATAATAAATGACTTACTAAACCCTAGGAGACGGGCCCTGGGGCTGATTTCCTGGAATGTAAATTCCAGTAGCTGTTGAAAGCAGCACAGCCTATTACTGTTGGCTGCGTCCCAGAAAGGAGATGTGTGGTCAGGTGGTTTTACTTCCTTTAACTTTTTCTAGGTTATGAAAACATCTCCTGTGAGTATCCACTTCACTTTCTCTTCTAAGTGGCATTCTCTATGATTCTCTGAGGCGTCACTGCCCTCTAATTCTGGGAAAGCAGCGATGACATCACAGGGACATTCCTAACCTTGGGGTCCGAACGGCTGTCATGAGACCTGAGGGATTTAGTTCATTAGGCTAAGCTGGAGAAAATTCTGTGCTGCAGAGAGGGTGCTGGGGTCCATGACCTGCTTTCATCTCATGAAACACTGGGTTGGCCAAAAAGTCCGTTATGTTTTTTCTATAAAATAAAATATACATTTTTTCATTTTCACCAATAACTTCATTGATTTGGATATTTTGAGTATGTCTACTATCTCCCACTACTGGCTTCTAGTGGGCAGAGGCCAGGGGTGCTGCTATTCCAGCACCCCTGGCCTCTGCACCTTCCAGTGCATCAGACAGCCCCACGGCAAAGAGTTATTCGGCCAAAGTGTCAATAGGACCAAGAAACTTCGCGAACCACTTTTGTTACATTCGATGGGTCATAGCACTTTCTACATACACTGCACAAATCTTTTTTTGTATTTCAGTTGTGTTTTTACCTTTCTTGAAATAATAAAGCATAATGTTCCAAAAATGTTGCATATCTTCTTCCATCTTCAATTTTAAAATGGCCGCACAAAAATTCACCAATTTTGATAAGTTTTTTTATAATACACACTGATACGACAGCCGTCACAGTACAATCTAACAATTATTTCAAATGAAGTTAAAGACAGCTAAGCACTGCTAGGTCCATCATAGGAAAAAAACAAACTTTTTGGCCAACCCAATACGTCTGGTGCTCTCGGCTTTTTTGGCTTTCAATGTTTAGATTCGAAATAGAGACCTGAGGATGAGAAAGAAATTCGATTTCTTCATTCCCATATTCATCCAAGATTAAGGACACAGTATAAATAGAGGTTTTCCAATGAATACTCATTGAATAATTCCTCGATGCCTGGTGTTGTAGTAAACCTGCATCAGCAGGACCCAGCTCCCACTCTCTAGAAGCTAACTGGGGAGATAACACATGGCTGTAACACAAGGTGAAGTGATTTAAAAGAGATCTTCCTTAGTAATTAAGTTCCCTTCCCTTTTCTTGTGCGTAGTTGGTTTGTCCTGAAAAAAATTATTTATTTTAAAGTTACTCTAAGCCAAACATTCCTAGGAAGATTCGTCCGTCAAACAATAGTGATATGGAAATTAGTCTTCAGAGTATCTGCTCTTGTAAAGGATTTCGCAGTTTGAGTTACACTTTCCTCACCACCAGGACTGGCTATAAATACTCTTTCTCTATAGCATCATAATTGAATCCTTGCACCATGGGGGCCATCTCCTTGACAGCCTGTGCCTTTGGCCTGGGCAGGCACAGGAGAAAAGCTGGGTTGTACACTCTGCCCTCCTCCCTGGGGCGGGTGAAGACCCCAGCCCTCTCAGGCTCTTCCCCATCCCTAGGTTGAAAGATCTGTTCTACCGCTCCAGCAACCTTCAGTACTTCAAGCGGCTCATTCAGATCCCTCAGCTGCCCGAGGTAAGTGTACCCAGCCATACCCTGGGAGCTGCCGAGTCCAGGATGCTCTTAGAGATTGGCAGGCCTGACAAGTGAGAGACTTCCAGGATGTGTCTTCCCTCTTCAGAACCCACCCAACTTCCTCCGGGCCTCTGCCCTGTCAGAACACATCAGCCCCGTGGTGGTAATCCCGGCCGAGGCCTCGTCCCCTGACAGCGAGCCAGTCTTGGAGAAGGATGACCTTATGGACATGGATGCCTCCCAGCAGGTGAGGACCAAGTGGGAGAGAAACTTGGCTCTTCCCATTGCCCCCAGGAGCAGGGGAGGGGACGGGAGGGGCTCTGGCCAAGCCACCTTGGCTCTAAGCAGGGTCAGCTGCCTTCTAATCCAGGCTCCAGTTAGACTGAGCACCCTGCCCCGTGGTCCCTAGGAGCACTGTGAATGGACTTGAACCTGATTAAGAAAGAGTCCATTCTTACACGTCACTCATTTGACCCCCTGTCAGAATTCTCTGGACCTCTAACTTTGTTCTCAATCGTTTTTGGTCACCACAGAATGTATTTGACAACAAGTTTGATGACATCTTTGGCAGCTCGTTCAGCAGTGATCCCTTCAATTTCAACAGTCAGAACGGTGTGAACAAGGATGAGAAGTGAGTGCAAGCTGGGCTAATACAAACGCGGGAGAAACTAAGTTAGGCCGTGATTTGACTCGCCACACCTCACCGAAGAGGAATCCTTAGGCTTCTTAGAGAACTTGGGCTTCTTAGAGAACTGTCTTGGCCCTCAAATATTAGCCCATTAGATCCCCAAAGAAAATCAAGTGATCCTGAAATAACAGTGGACCCGTAGGTATTAGATTAGTATCTAGTAACACTGACTGTCATAGATTGATGAACTTGAAAAGAATTGTCCCCAGATTAACACCGGCTTTTAACTTCCTCCCCTGATCTCCCAGCTTGCATTTAGGAGGAGAGGGGTAGGACCACAGTGGAAGCAAACTCGTTCTCCTTCTGTTCCCAGGGATCACTTAATTGATCAATTGTACCAAGAGATCAGTGGGCTGAAGGCACAGCTGGAAAACCTGAAGACTGAGGTGAGAATGGGCTCTGATCTGCTTCTGGGCTTTACCATCACAGAGCAGATTTTAATTAAATTTGCTTCATATAACCCTGGCTGGTGTGGCTCAGTTGGCTGGAGGGTCGTCCCATAACTGAAAGACTGTGGGTTCGGTTCCCGGTCAGGGCACATGTCTGGATTGTGGGTTCAATTCCTGGTCCGGGTACACACGGGAGTCAGCCAGTTGATGTTTCTCTCTCACGTCAGTGTTCCTCTCTCACCCTTCCTGTCTTCCGTTCGCCTTTTCTGAAAGCAATGAAAAAATGTCCTCGGGTGAGGATTTTAAAAAAAATTGCTTCTCATAGATACTTGTTGGACCACATTTTAAAGGGGATTCGTTAGTAGAAATGCCAAAGCTAGAGGATCTGGTCTTTCCGTGGTCTCAGTTGTAGTGCATTTCTACTGTATTTGCTTTGAGAATGGCATTGAAGCCAAGCTCCAGTGTCCCTCAGAACTAACCGTGACCACCTACCAGCTATGAAGCTGTGAGGAGAAAGACCTATACTCACATGGTGGTAAGAAGGTTTGATCCCTAACTCTGATGGCTGTTTGCAGCGCCTGATGCTGTACACGCCTAGCCCTTCACACCCAGAGCTGGTCAGAGGCTTTACTCACTGGGACAGGCGAACATTCTGTCCTTCCTGATTCCAGCTCCTGCATCGCTCTCCCAAGCCACTCTAACGGGACCAGAATTCCCCCACCGTCATCCGCTGTTGTTGCTGATTGGATGGCTTGTAATGACCTGAAGGCTCAGCTCCCAAGAGACTTTGGGAGTGGGTTTGTTAGGAAAACCTAGGCGTTTATTTGGTCAGTGCTAGAAACACGACAGGACCTGCTTCTCCGCCCAGCACACCTGACCCACAGCAGCACGGCAATCAGCCGTATTACCTAAGTCCTTCCCACAGAGCCAGCGAGCTGTCCTGCAGCTGAAGGGCCGCATCAGTGAGCTGGAGGCCGAGCTGGCCGAGCAGCAGCACCTGCGGCAGCAGGCTGCCGATGAGAGCGAGTTTCTTCGGGCAGAGCTGGATGAGCTCAAGAGGAAGCGAGAAGACACGGAGAAGGCACAGCGGAGCCTGACAGAGATAGAAAGTGAGAGGCTGGCGGGGGCAGGAGTGAGTGTGTGGGGCGGGAGATCAGTCAGGATGAAGGAGGCGGGTGGCAGAGCCCCACCCAGCCTTGCGTCTGTCCAGAGGAGCTGTCAGCAGTGCCAGCTCTCCTCACCAGTCAGAGGGCGACTGGAGTCCAGCAGGGGGGGCCCCTGTGTGAGGCGCTGCTGAGAACATGGTGATGGGGGCTACAGAAGGGGACAGGGGTGCCTGGCCCAGGAGGCTGGATCTCCGAAGGAGAGAGAGCCCAAGAAATAGCTTGACTTAAAGCCAAAAGCACAGATAAAATAAATGCATATATAAAAATGCTCAGGACGCATGAACTGGTGCAGTGATTTGAGTCAGGTGAATTCTCTTTAAAGGAGGCTTCCCCAAGGAGTTTCAGGAGGGCTTTTAAGGGAAAGGGGGTGTATACATTGTGAAAAGAAAGGATAGTCTTCTAGGGATTCTGGTTTATTGGAAGAGGGGCGGAGGGTCCCAATCAGGTAGGCTCTTCACTTTGGTCCTTGGCTGCAGGGAAAGCCCAGGCCAATGAGCAGCGGTACAGCAAGCTCAAGGAGAAGTACAGTGAGCTGGTGCAGAACCACGCGGACCTTCTGCGGAAGGTAGGACCCTCAACCTGCCCCTCACCATGCGCAGGCCCCACCTCACAGGGCAGAGAGCAACTCAGGCCTCGTGGCCTCTCCAGGTCCAGTGCCCCCACCAGTCTCCAGTGGGTCTCCACCATTTCTTGGGAACCTCAGCTTTTCAGGCTCCCTCACTGCCCATATCTTGAGCTTCACCTTAGATGCTAGCCCCACGTGCATTATTATCCTCACCTTTATTGTTTAACTACTTCAGAGCTGAGTATCTGCAGATGACAGCTTTCTTCTAGCTTCTCCTGGGTAGAACAGTGATTCTGTGTCCAACCCTAAGGCCCTCACAGCCTGAATGCTGTCATTTGTTATAGAAGGAAGATGTTCGTTAAGCCTGAGATGAGCCGCCAATGCTCTTCTCTTACAGAATGCAGAAGTGACTAAACAGGTGTCTGTGGCCAGACAAGCCCAAGCAGATTTGGAACGAGAGAAAAAAGAGCTAGAGGATTCCTACCAGCGCATAAGTGAGCAGGCCCAGCGGAAGGTGAGTGGGAGGGAGGCAAACGTGGGAAATGAGGGAGGGGCCCATCTAAGTTGGAGGCAGGCTTTGATCCAAAGCCTTATCTTCCGCTCCACGGGCAGCTGGCTCTGTGGGCTGGAGCCCTGTGAGGGTGCTGCAAGAGGCCACATAGAGCAGGTTGTGATTTCTGAGGCAGAAGGGGTTAGAAGTGACTGCATTTCATCAGCAAAGGCTTTCCTGGGGCAAGTCTTAAGGAAAGCACGTGGATATCAGACAGGAACGAGGGTTTACAAGGAGCAGTAGCCAGAGGAACGCCCGTGACTCAGGGTGGGGTTGACGGGCAGGGCCCTTTGGAGTGAGCCAGTGTCAGATGGATAGAACTGGATGCCTTACACATCAAGTTGGGGCTTTTACCCTTTCTGTGACCCAGACTGAAAAACACAGCTATCTAATGGGAATAAAAGTCTCACAAAGAAATACTTTTCCTTACTATGTGAATGCTTTGGGATCTTTTATTTTGCTGTTTCATTTTTTTAAATGTTATCTGTGAATTTTACCAATGGGTCACAACCTACTCTTTGAAAAATACCACTTAGAAATCAAAGAAGGGGACTATTTTTAGATGGCAAGATTTGGTAGTGTACCAGTGTTGGGAAACCTGAATTAAAGATCCATTTCTACTTTAATGAGTATTGTGGGCTTAAACACGGCATTCAGGAAGTGTCCTAAAATTTCCCCCTTGACATTCCACTTACTCAGAAGAAAATTTTTGTACACTCTGAGTTCTCTCCTTCTGCCCCTGCCCTTTTTGCTGAGGTAGAACTTGCATACAAAAGACAACACAACTCTCATTTATAGGTCAGGGATCTTTTTTACACATGTTTATCCCTTGTACCCACCACCCAGATGGGGGTGCTCCTGTTTTTCTCCCCTTTCAGACTCAAGAGCAGACGGAAGTACTAGAGAATTTGAAGCAAGAACTTGCCACCAGCAAGCAGGAGCTCCAGATTGCCCAAGGCAGCCTGGACACCTGTGCCCAGGTGACCACCGCCTTCTTTACTTCCCTTCCTTATTCCCCCACCCTGCTCTGGCTTTTGTGTTGCTGTCACTGAGCCTCTGTCACTGTCCAGCACATGGTCAGCCTGGTCCCATCTGTGATAAGTGCATAGTCAGGGGAATCAAAGTGGCAGGTTAAAGAGATATGACCTTCTGTTCCTTGTGGCCTAGTGGTGGGTTTGGACTTCTGGGAAGGGGACAGTTTAGTTCCTCCCAGCAACTCCCTCTTTCCACGTGGTCACCATTGCAGGCAGAAGAAAAATGGGTGACTCAGATTGCTGAACTGGAGAAGGAACGGGACAGCTTGGTGAATGCCATGGCTCATCGAGAAGAGGAAGTCTCTGCTCTTCAGGAACAGCTGGAACACACCCAGCTCAAACTGTCCAGCGCACAGGCAAGTGAGACACCCTCGGGCCAGCTGAGTTCGACCTCTCACCCATGGCATCAGCGGTGGATTCATGGAAGCCAGGGGGCTATGAGAGGGATCTAGGGCCTCCTGGTTGATTTTGAAGGCATCTGTATGAATAGCCCCTAATGCCAGCATGCCCTGAGTCACCCACAGAGCAGATGAGGGAAAGCAGAGCTCTCCTTTTTTGTAGGAAAAAGGGATGCACTTAGCACTCTTTCCCCAAGATTGGAGGATGGGTTGCAGTGGTCCATCCCCATAGCCTCCTGTGCTCAGTGGCTCACACCTCGGACAAAGCAAGAACTTGAGCTAAGATGCCAGGACTCCCGGCTATGTCACAGGCGGATGCTGCTCGAAGCATGTTACAGGGTCTGTGGCAGACTCTCACCTCCCTGGACCATTTCTAGGAATCCATGTGCCAGCTCGCAAAGGACCAACGGAAAATGCTTCTAGCAGAGTCAAGGAAGGCTGCAGAGCAGGTGATACAAGAGGCCCTGCGGCAGCTGGAGGAGCCCACTCTCATCAGCTGCCCCGGATCTGCAGGTACTCTTCCCGGCTTACCGGTGTCAGATCCTGTTGACATTAAATCTCACGTGACACTGAACTCAGGGGTTCTCAGCCCAGCTGCATGTCATAATTGCTGGGGGGGGGCGGGAACTGGGCAGTAGTGTTTTCTAAAGCTTCCAGGTGTGATAAGTACTGCTTTAGCCATGGGTTACACTAATCAAATGCCTACTGGGAGCTGAGCCTTGACAATAGTTCTAAAGGCCAGTAGGAGGACCAGACAGTCCTATGTCTAAGGAGAGAAATGTGCTCTGAATCAAGGCATGGTCGCTCATGAGCTTCAAGTCAGACAGGGAGGCATCATGAGCATGGAGGGGCAGGAGCAGTAAAAATCCCCACATAGTCATAGGTGTGACCGGGGGCCCACTTGGCAGGCACCAGAGTCCTAAGAGCATGCGAGTAGAGCAGGGCCCAGGTCAGAGAAGCCCTCCAAGTCAGAGGGGAGAGCCTCTGTGCACAGTGAGTGGAGGAGCACCCAGGCCCAGGGGATTTGGGAAATCCCAGTGATGAGCAGATCTCGTCTGCAAGCAGAGAAGACGTGTTGGCAAAGGAACGAGAGGCTCCACTGAAGGACGGGCAGATGGGAGGAGACGGCTGACAGTTGATTTTTGTGATGGAATAGAAAGGTCACGATGTGGCGAAGTCTACAGCAAGAACTGTTCTATCTGACTCGACAGGGAGCCCGTCTGTGAGGAAACACAACAGGACAAATGAAGGAGCACACTGAGGGAATGCCAGGAAATGGGGCCGCTGTGGGCAGATTCTAGGAAGAGATGTGATGAGCTAGCTTTTGAAGGAAGAGAAGAGACATGAGCCAATGGAGAGGAAGAAAAATGGGGAACAGTAATAAAAATAGCTGACTTTGCTTTCTCAGTGCCAAGCACTATTCTAAGCATTTCACATGCCTTGGCGCAGCAAGTCCTCATGAGGCTGCTGGAGGTGTTACTGTTATTCCTGCTCTCAGGTGAGGAAGCAGGCACAGATGGCATGAGATCCCAGCCAGTAGTGGCAGAGCCAGAGGCCACACCTAGGCCGTGTGACCAGAGAGCCCATGCTGGAACTCCTGTGCGACACAGCCTCCACGGCCCTGTGCCCAGGGCCACAGCAGTGGGAGTGGCTGTTGTGTGCAGCACAGATTAGCCTAATGGGGGAGCCAAGGCTCTGGGCTCCAGATTAATGAGAGTCTAGGGGCCTTGAGAGACTTAACAGGCAAGTCTGAATTCGATACAGTGGGCAGTAGTGAGAAGTGAGATGCAGCATCTAGGGGGGCAGTGGGGTTGCCCTGGCTCTTGTCTGGAGACCAGGTAGGCTCAGAAGCACAACTTTTGAAGCTACAATAAGAGAATCGTGTACCAGTGTAACCAAGGAGCTTCCCTTCCTTCCCCCTCCTCAGGGCAGCTCCCTTAGGGCTGGAGCCATGCACTAAGTAGGCTCCTCCATCAGGTGACTTAACTAACAGGGATGAAGCAAGCTACGACAACTCTGGCTTTGACTTCGTCCTGATTTTCCTATCACAGATCACCTTCTTTCCACGGTCAAGTATGTTTCCAACTGTATTGAGCAACTGGAAAAATGCTGGAGCCAGTACCTGGCCCACCCAGAAGGTAAGAAGGGAAGGGATAGGGTCTGTCCCCAGCGATGGCCGGGCAGGGCCAGAAATGTGTGAATGTAAAACCTGGGTTCCTGTGCATCCAGCAAAGAGCATGCACAACTAGAAGGGGGAGGAGGGCAGACATGTGAAAGTGATACCCTCAAGCAGGACTGAGAAACTCTCCTCTAAATTCTTGGCAGATATCAGTGGGCTTCTGCACTCGGTCACCCTCCTTGCCCGCTTGACCAGTGACACCATTGTTCACGGTGGCACCACCTGCCTTAGAGCCCCACCAGAGGCTGCCGATGGTGAGTGCCAGGGTGGAGAAGGGGAACATTCCGAAAAGCCAGGGGAGCAGAGGGCATTTAAAAGTCCCTATTGCTTTGCATCGCCAGCACTGACCGAGGCCTGTAAGCAGTATGGCAAGGAAACCCTCATCTATCTGGCTTTCCTGGAGGGAGAAGGAACCCTTGAGAGTGTCAACAGCACAGCTATGAAGAGCTGCCTCAGCAAGATCATGGCCATTGGCGAGGTATTATCAGTATCATCACTGGACAAAGTCATTGTTGATCTTGGGTGTGAGTGCCTGTGATTTGCCAGAAAGTCAGTGATGTTTTAAGCCAGTTCTTTCTGCACTTTAAACTTGATTTGAGAAAATAAGAGAGCTGAAAAATCTGACTTCCCTGCATGACATCCCAGTTGCATTTAATTCACTGGCCGTTAATTAAGAATTTACTGTGTGGTTGTCATTATGCTAGGCAAGATTAAAGAAGAATTAGAATAGTTTTTCTGTTTTCAAGGGTTTTTATGTGGTTGGGCAAGAGATGCCTAAAACGGATACAGCGATGTATGTATTTATTTATTCATTCCATAAAGATGTAGTGAATATGTCCCATATACTGGGAATTGTGTCGGGTGAAGTTATACAGGGACAAATGAGACATGGCTCTATTAGAAGGGAAAATAAAGAAAGCAACCATTTCCATACAGTGGGATGAGAAGTAAAATAGATATCTATTTTAAGAGTACAATACAAAGCATTTAATTAATTCCTAAAGTGCATGGTGACAAGTTCAAGGAAAGAGGAGATCAGGACCAGAGTTGAGATCCTCATCATCCCTCATTCAGGCTCTTAAAACAGGCTTCTGATCAGTGTCTCTGCCTCTGGCCTCTTTTTCCTCTGCTCTCTTCCAGAAACAGAGATCTGATTATGATTTCTCTTGTTTGATAACAAAAATCATATTATGTAACATTGCATGCAAGGGCCTCCAGAGCTTGGCCCTTAGTCGCCTTTCTGGGCTCCTCTCGTACCCTCCCTTCACCTTGCAGTTGGTGGCTGACACTGCAGCGTGCCTCCTTACCTGCCTGTTTTCCCCCAGTGAGTCCTCAGAGGTAGAGCCCCTACCTTCTTCATGCTGTATCCCTAGTCCCTGGCATAGTATCTGGCCGGTGGTTAGCACCCCACAAATGTTTAATTAATTGTGCAGACAGAGAGAGCAAACCAGATACAGAGATGGGTCAGAAGGGGAAGGAAGGTTCGTGCTGGGGAGAATGAGGTGGGCAATGAGGTGGAGAACCTGGAAGGCCTGCGTAAAGGAGGACTGTGGACAGTGGTGAATTGCTAACCTCCCTTTCATAGGGTAACATAATCATGGTGATGGTTTGGTCTTATTAAATTGCTGTGGCAGCCTAGGCAGCATTAACACAGTCTGCCTTTTGTTGGAGATAGAGCATCTTCCCCAATACAGTGCAGAATTGGGAAATCACTATGTACATGCAAAGTACGCAGGACACCACGAAGGAATACAGATTAAATCAGTGAAAGCAAAGCAACATGTGATAGAAAGATCATAAGCAGGTTTCCTTCCTGGCACTAGGGGTTACCAGATATTTAGAGGCTCTTCCCAGAATAGGATATGAAAAGTGCTAAATAAAATTTGTAAAATTTTTTTAATTGAACCTGAACTGGCTAAAGATGGAGGACACTCGAAGATGGTGGCGTAGGCAGACAGGGCTAGCCTCCTCCCACAACCACGTGAAAATTGCAACTAAAACATAATTGAACAGCCATCACTCAGAACCGTCAGAAATCAAGTTGAATAGAAGTCTGACAACCACAGAATTAAATTACATCCATCCAAACGGGTAGGAGGGGCAGAGACATGGCCTGGACTGGTCCCACACCCACATGTGGTAGGTAAAAATTCAGGAGTGATATCTATCAACAATTGAATATAAAAATCAAATTAAGTAAATAAGAAGAACAGAGACAGAATCGTGGATACAGAGAGCGTGTTAATGGTTGCCAGACAGGAAGGGGGTACTCGGGAATGGATGAAGAGGTGAGGGTATTAAGAAGTACACACAGTTCCAGAATAGCCATGGGGAAGTAAAGTACAGTACAGGGAATGGAGCAGCCAAAGAACTTATATGCATAGCCCATAGACATGAGCAGTGGTGGGGGGGTCCTGGGTGGGGGGGGCAGAGGGGGGAAAATGGAGACAACTGTAATAGCAATAAAATAGAATTAAAAAATTAAAACTGATTCTCAAATTCAGAAACCAAAAGAATACCAGAGCCAGTGTTTGTCCATCTCTGGTAACCTAGGGTTTGGATTTTAATGGGCCACACATACAGAGTGGAATGAGAAACAAAACCTAAGTCTAAGTAGGATTAAAGATTAGAATGGGGAGCCCTCCTCCCCAAAAAGGAAGTCTGAAGTGAATAGGGAAAAAAAATCCTGCCCTATAGGGAAGATCTCATCTTAACCTTGACGAGTTGAGACAGCAAACATGGCTGCCTAGAGAATTCTTTTCCACAGATTCAGGTTCAAATTTCATGCTTACCTGTCTGGCCTAAAAATCTCCAAACAGAATATTAAGCTTAAAGCCTAAGGTTGTTAGGGGCCCAGATACCTGGCAGAGACAGACCCCAGTTGTCTGAAGGAATACATTTGAATTCTAAACCTCAAAGAAGTTTCATAGACAGTCCCAAGGACTGTAAGTTCACAGTAACTGTTTGACACGTTAAAGGACTTTTTAAAAGGTATTAAAAGTGTGACAGGGAATAAGAGTTTCAAAGATAACCAGATAGATTTAAAAAAAAAAAACCATGGAACTTCTAGAAATGAAATATCTATATAATCATTGAAAGTAATAACTTTAAGATATAGAGAGTCAATAGTGAGTTAAAACAAGACTGAAGAAAGAATTAATGAACTGGATGATAGAACTGAAGGGATTGCATAGCATATGGCACAGATTTTATAAGTTGGAATGTAAAGGTTACAGATAGAATGTTTGACCCCCCAGTAACATACTGTTAGTTAAACATGTTAAAGACTTTCCTTCTACAACTTCCTGTTTCCAACATTCTGTATGTGAGAGTTATCCATGCAGATACATTCATTTTCACTGCTCTGTTGTGCTCCATTGCATGAATATTGCTTAATTTCTATATCTGTGCTCTTGTTGATGGACATTTGGGCTATTTCCAGTTTGGGGCTATCATAGTGAATGTGATCAGTGAATAGTGTGAATAGTGAATAGTGAATAGTGATTAGTGAATGTGTCACTGACCATGCTTCTCCACACGTCCTGGTACATGAGTGCAACAGTTTCTCTAGAGTTTGTATGTCTAGGAATCAAATGGCTACGGTGTAGGATGACTCTCACAGAATGCTGAGTGAAGAAGCAAGTCATAGAAAATATAAATAGTACAGTTCCTTTTAATAAAGACCAAAACAAATGCAAAAAAACCCCTAACACTGTATTGTTTAAGGATGCATTCTTATGAAGTTAAGAAAAGGCATTATGAGCATTCTCCTGAGTTCTGTGCTTACCTCGGTGTGAGGAGTCAGGAGGAAGGGGGAGGGAATCAGGCAGGATGCAAAGGAGATTTCAAAGGTACTAATAATGTTTCTTAAGCTGTGCTTTAAGTTGGGTAACATGGGTCATTTTCTTACTCTCTAAATCATTTCTATCTATTTTACACACTTGTATTTGTAACACAATGTTTTAAGACAGTCATGGGCCATTAGACCTGAGTTCCAATCCCTGCTTCGCTGTTTCTTAGCAGCATAACTGCGCTCAAAGCATTTGATCTCTCTGAGTCCAGGCTTCCCACCTGTGCAGCAGGAGTAGGAATGGCCCTGCCCGATTGCTGTGGGAAGTAACATCAGGGGCAGGCTGTCCGCTGGGAAGACATTGTCTACATTTCAAGAGGTTTTTAAAACATCCCAAGCAGCAAACACAGTCAACACGGTGCAACTGTGGGGTTAGGGTCAGAGCAGCGGCAACTGAATGGCCTTGTGGGGTTAAGCAGGGTTGGCCTCCCAGAACGAGGTGGGCTCTGAGTGAAGGTAAGAGGGGGTGGGGCACGCGGCTCCCAAGTTCACATGGTAGAGAGTTCCAGGCAAGGCCCATTAGGGATGCCTCTATGTGGCTTGCAGAAGTGGGGTAGGTGGTGGGGATGCTCCTACCTTCTGCCATCGTGTGAGGATGACAGGTCTGCCATAGGAGAGGAGAGAGGAGGTGAAAGGGTCATTTCAGCCCTCGCGATCTGTTCACAGGAGCTCCTGCCCAGGGGCCTGGACATCAAGCAGGAGGAGCTAGGAGACCTGGTGGACAAGGAGATGGCTGCTACTTCAGCTGCCATTGAAACTGCTACAGCCAGAATAGAGGTATGGAAGTGTCCAAAGATCTCAAGTGATGCCCTGGTAGCTACCCTTTGGCAACATTTCCTATGGGATGTATGATAGTCGTTCATTAAGGCTTCAGAGGCCCCCTATGAAAATAAACCAGAACCTGGACCCACCAGGATATCTGAGGAATAGGAAGTGAGAAAGTCCTCACCAAGAGAGGGTGAGCAGTTTCCTCAAGCATCGCGCATTTGCTGTCAGGCCATCCTGCATTCATGTTCCGGATTGGCTGACCACTTACTAACCATATTCCTTCCAATAAGTTACATTAGCCTCACTAAGATTCAGATTTCATTTTGATATGATGTCGATAGTAAAAGCACCTACCTCAGAGGGATATTTTCAGAGTTAAATGAGATAATGCACATCTCGCCATGGCTAGTGTGGCTCAGCTGGTTGGAATGTTGTCCCATACACCAAATGGTTGCGGGCTCAGTCCATAGTTGGGGCACACATGAGAAGGAACCAATCGATGTTTCTCTCTCTCCCCCCTCTCTTCCCCCTCTAAAATCAATAAGCATGTCCTCGGGTGAGGATTAAAAAAGAGAGATAATGCCCACCTCTGTCAGTGCTGGACACTCAGTAAATCAGTGATAATGCTTGTCTCAGGGAAAAGCCGAGTGGGCACCTTTGGAAAGGTCTCATATTGCTCTTGTGATGAAGGACTCAGGCCACCCACCTTGGTGTGAGTACCTGCCTCCTGGGCCTGGTAGCCACTGCCCCTCCTGATGTGGTGCTGTAGCCCAGAGTTCTGTGCCCATCAGCCTGGGGGCCAGGATGTCAGGACGCAGACAGGGGAACCAGCCTGCTGGAGCTGCCTCCCACTGAGTGGATCGGAAGTCTAGGTGTTTTCCCCAATTCTCCAGAGGATGTGGATGGGCCCGTCTAGATCTGGGTATTGGAGTGTAGTAGGACACCAGTGGTTCTCAGTACCTGTGACGTGTTAAGAAACCTTGCTTCTTTTTAACAGGAAATGCTCAGCAAATCTCGAGCAGGGGACACGGGAGTCAAATTGGAGGTGAACGAAAGGTCAGTTTGACCAGCATGGTGGCACGTAGGTGGTCAGGATCCGCCTGGCCTGCGTTGGATTATACGAATTAGCGTAGAATGTTGGCACCCACGGGGAAGGTTAAGTCTACGTAATTGTTGGTAACGGTATTAGTGATGGTGATAGTATCGCTGTTGCATTATAAGGGAAAAGAAACCCCCAAGAATCCTCACTTAGCTCTTCCTTATGAAGAAGATCCACAATCAAGTCTCCTTACTCATCTGCCTTTCCTTTGGGGCTTCACCCGAGAGAAGGCATTCCCTGCCTTATTTCCCATTCCAAGTTTGCCTGTGTTTCGGAAGGAAAAAGAGAACAAACAGCTTTCTTCATTGTTGGTCTCTGCTCTGTATCCCTCACCTTTTTTTTTCATCTTTTGTTTGTTTGTTTGTAGGATTCTTGGATCTTGTACCAGTCTAATGCAAGCTATTCAGGTCCTCATTGTGGCCTCGAAGGACCTCCAGAGAGAGATAGTGGAAAGCGGCCGGGTAAGCGTGGGTGAGGGCCCACAGACAGGGAGAACAGAACGGACACTATTTACGGATTCCCAGCTCACTAAGAGGCTAAGTCTGCGTGATATACTTGTCCACACTCAGTGAAATCTGTATGTGTTGTTGTCACACCCTGCGTGTCCATCTGAGGACACAGCTGCCACCCCTTGGGTGTCAGCAGACATCCTGGGAAGAAACTGGGACACTGCCAAGTCACCAGAGAGCAGCCAGCCCCAGCTTCTGGCTACTGGCTCGTTGACCCAGGCAGACACCACTGGAACCTGCTGTGGAAACCCAGTGTGCATTGCAGGCCTGGGCCCTTGCAGGAGGACCTGAGAGCTTTTGAAAACTAGGCAGATCAAACAAGCGAACCTGGTGGTAACTTTCACAGTGGGCTCTGCTGTGTCTCTGCAGCAGCAGCAGCAGCAGCCAACTCACAGTGTTCACGGACTGTGCCTCAGTCTCATGTTGACTTCAGCGCTTTGACTTTCTCCTTTGCTGGCATTATTGCCATCTGGTGTTTTCTCGCATCCCTGGCGCAGCTGCACCTCAAGAGACAAAGGTCCAGGAACGGTTTATGGGCCTGAAAACAATCATATAAAGAACAAAGTTCTATCTGCTTTGGTGGTGCTTTTTATCAGTGTAAGAGGTGATGTTTTTGGTCCCCCAAAACAGAAAGAGGGACTGAGCAAGGAGTATCTGCAGATTCTCAGACTATCAGACACTTTTAAAACATAAATACATTTTTAAAAGCCAAGTAGAAATAGTTTTTTAAAATTATTCACTGTATACTCTCTTCTTTTGGCAAATCATGAAGAGCAGCTAGACTCTTCTGAGATTGTTACTTATAAGTACATATTTTATACATATATAAAATATATATATATTATTTTTATAATATATAGCCCTGGCCAGTGTGGCTCAGTGGATTGAGTGCTGGCCTACAAACCAAAGGACTACTGGTTCAATTCCCAGTCAGGGCACATGCCTGGGTTGCAGGCCAGGTCCCTGGTTGGGTGCATGTGAGAGGCAACCAATGGATATTTCTCTCACACATCAATGTTTCTCTCCCTCTTTTTCTCCCTTCCTTCCCTTCTCTCTAAAAATAAATGAATAAAATCTAAAAAAAATTATTTAAAAAAAATATAAACACACACACACAATGTAGAAATATGATAGAAATGCTATGAGTTTGGGAGTCAGAGGAGCCTAGGGTTTACTTCCATTTATTGCCTGAATGACCTTGGGAAAAGTATTCTTGCTTCTCAGAATCTTACTTTTCTCTTCTGTAAAATGGGAATAATAATGCTTGCCTCTCAGAGTGACTGTGAAGATACAAATGAGGATATATATACACATACACACACTCACACACATGTGTATTTATATACATATACATATATGTGTGTGTGTGTGTGTACCTGGCACGTAGTAGGCAATCCATAAAAAGTACCTATTATTATCTTTCATTTGCCTAGGGCACAGCATCCCCTAAAGAGTTTTATGCCAAGAATTCTCGATGGACAGAAGGACTCATCTCAGCCTCCAAAGCTGTGGGCTGGGGAGCCACTGTCATGGTGTGAGTGTCTTTCGGTCCCCATGCTCCTCACCCCACCCCCAGTCCATTGATCCACCCCAGAGAATACTAAGGGAAAAAATATCGCCCCTAAAAATGCACTGATAATAAAGTTTAAGAGGAATCCTGGGTGTCCTGGGACAGCACAGGGGTAAGGCTGGCAGGGGGGTGGGCTGGTCTAGAGGTGGGATCATAAGGGGTTGAAGCTCTGACTTCAACAGTGACAAAGTCCCTCTGGTCCTTTCCCGACTGTCAGTGACGCGGCCGATCTGGTGGTACAAGGCAGAGGGAAGTTCGAGGAGCTGATGGTGTGTTCCCATGAAATCGCTGCTAGCACAGCCCAGCTTGTGGCCGCATCCAAGGTAGGACCCGTGTCGGACTCCCTGGGGTACTGCGAGGCCTGGCTACGTTAGAGATACTTGGACTAGGGACCAGCTCCAGGAACAGATAGTTTATCCAGGGCCCAGTGGGTTGGGTCCCAAATTAAAATTCTGACTCTCAAGAGTTCCCTACCACCTCCCCCGAAAGCCTTTCATCTGTCAGCAACAAGCCCTTCTACCCAACTCACCACGTACTCCCCTCTTGGTTCTCCTCACTTGGTTACCAGGGGCCTCTGAGCATCCAGCGGTGCCGACCTCTGATGAGCAATCGCAGCATTCCAGGAGCTCTCAGATGAGGACGGAGTTAGAGCGCCGGGGTGCAGGGCTTCCCCAGCCGGCATCGGCCTCTCCTCAAGCGTCTCCAGCTTTGAACAATTGCCCAGCTAATCCTAATGCAAAGCTTGTCACCAAAATCCTTCCATGAGTTTGATAGTATCCCAGGGAGTGTTCTTTTATCGTACTTACTTATTTTTATGCCAAATCGGTTTTCACAATGGGAGCGCCTCATCAAAATACCTTATAAAGCTGGAGTCTGAGGCCATCCAGCAAATAAGCCAGGCGTCGTCTTTTAGATTAAAGATGCGCCAGAGTTGACCCCACAGGCAGCAGTCTCTGAGCAGTTGACTGGTAACCGCAGTGGATCCACGTCTGGTTGTCAAGCACCATCAGTCCAGCTCTGACTCAGTCCTGGCCACCGCTCTGTGTCGTGTGAACCTAAACATGCTTGGTTCTGGCAGGTGAAAGCCGACAAGGACAGCCCCAACCTGGCCCAGCTGCAGCAAGCCTCCCGCGGGGTGAGCCAGGCCACTGCTGCGGTGGTGGCCTCGACCATTTCTGGCAAATCGCAGATTGAGGAAACAGGTAGCCTTTCAGAAGCAATACTGTCTTTAATCCAAGTTACCTGTTCTTTACATGCTCCATGATCCCAGTTTCCCACAGTTCTGTTTTCAAACTCTTTACTTTTCATCTTTTTGCATAAATACTTATTTTCTCATAAGAAGGGACACCGCACAAGCATGCTGTTTGTATTGCTGCAGTGACACACCTTTAGGCAGATTTTGCATTTATCCATTTCTCTGAATTCAAAGAAACGCATCTGTAGGCCTGGCTGTCTGGTGGGGAGGGTGGAGGGGTGGGAATTCTGACCCCGGTTACCCTGTCACTGCGTCTTTCTTCCTGTCCATCCCTTGCAATGGGCACACACATGCTAGTAAACGGCAAACCAAGCATTTCAGTAGAGCATTGGCATCGGCCACCTCCCAGGCGGGACTCACCCTGGGGTATTATCTGACAAGAATTTCTCACTTCTGTCCTGGCAGACAACATGGACTTCTCAAGCATGACGCTGACCCAGATCAAACGCCAGGAGATGGACTCCCAGGTACGAACTCCATCTCTAAGTCTAGACAGTTTTATGACTTAGGATATCAACCCCAAGTATTATTCCCAGGGTAGGAAGCCAGTGAGAGAGAGACTTGGGGGGAAATGAACTCAGATGTACCTTTTGGCCCAAGAATAAATGGTGCCGGAAGGGACAGTGGACATGAAGAGGGTCGACTAGTGACAATGAGAATCTTAACTCTTGCCCGCTAGTCTTGGCCTTGTGTCCCCAAACCTGACATCCTTCTCTTAGAATTACTAGTCATCAGTCCTGGGGTAAAGTCCAGATTAAAACTATTAAAATCTGTGGATGGGTCCCAAAGGAGGTATCTTAATGGAAAGTCATGTGGCGAAATTTCTGTGTAAACACTGAAAAAACAGCTCAAGTCTGAGTCTGCTCTACCTGCACTCTCTTGTTTAGTGGTCTCAACTAATCCCTCCTGACTTTAAATACCACCTGTGTGCTGATGAACACCAGATTCTTCTCCCCGGCTGAGATCTCCTTGAGCTCTGTACTTGTCCAACCACTGACATGATATCTCCATTTGATGCTGAGTAAGCATCCCAAACTTAATATCCAAAACAGGTCTCTTGGTTTCCCTCTTCCCCAAATATGTCCCCTTCCCTGGTTCTACCTCCGAAAATGGCATCACCACCACCCACCTGGGTGCTGAGCCCCAAACCTAGGAGTCATCCTTGGTTCCTCTTTCCCTCACCCTCTACACCCAATGCATGGAAAGTCTTATCAACTCAAAATCTCCAAACAGTAACCTTGACTTACCTCCCCAGTATTTTCTGCCTCCCTAACCTAGTCTAAGCTGCCATTGTCTCCCTCCTGAGCTACTGCCAAAGCACCTTAACTTTATAGTATGTGTGTCCGTCTTTCACAATCACCCTGTGGCGGGGCCAGTAGGATGGTGGTGGGAGGGAGAGAGGGGACAGGCATGCGGGGCCACGAGTTGATGGACGGTGGAACCAGGTGGAAGGCGCATGATGGGGTTCATCGTACCAGTCTCCGTCTTTCTGTATTTGTGTCACATTTCCCATAATAAAAAGTTTAAAAGCAAAAAAAGGAACATCTAACTGGGCCTACTTATTTCCACTTTTGCCCCACTACAGTTCGCTCATTCTCTACATAGTTTAAAAACATAAGTGACAGCATGTCACTTCCCCACTTTCAATCTTCCAATGGCTTCTCTTGGTACTTAGAGTAACATCCAAATCTCTAACCCGGCTTGTGCGGGCCTGGGTAGAATGATCCTTACCTGCTTCAGCCTCTCAGCCCTCTCCCGCTCCCACACGGCAGTCAGCCGCACAGAGTTCTTCCTGTTCTCCCACCCCTCGAGCCCATTCCTGCCTGAAAGTCCGCTTCCTCGACTGGAATATTGTTCCCCAGTGAACTGAATAGCTGATCTCTTATGGCCATTTAGGTGTCAGCTCCAAAGTTGTTTCATTTTCTGACCATCCTTAGTATTGATCCCATTACCTTGTGTCATTTTCTTGATGATCTGACCTTTTCTTGTTTGTTAGTTTGTCTCTTCCCCCTGCAAGGTAAGCAGGGACCTCGTCTGTATATGCAATACTGTCTTCAGCACCTACAACAAGGCCTGGGCTGCATGATGGGTGCTCAGCAAATATTTCTTGAGTAACAACAAATTAATGAGAAGTGCAGACAGCCAAAAGTAACTCACCTTTAGTGAGACTGTGCCTGTATAATAATAACCCCAAGTTGCACCAACCCCTCAGAGACGCCAGAACCATCATGTTTGGTTCCTGCCTGAACTCCCAGGGAAATGGGCTTGGAGGGTTATGACTAGATAAGCCAAACGTTGGGGTTGTTTTTATTTATTTTTTTTTTATTTTAAAGATTTTATTTATCTATTTTTAGAGAGGGGAAGGGTGGGAGAAAGAGAGGGAGAGAAACATCAATGTGTGGTTGCCTCTCATGAGCCCCCCACCAGGGACCTGGCCTGCAACTCAGGCATGTGCCCTAGACTGAGAGTTGAACCAGCAACCCTTTGGTTTGCAGGCCAATGCTCAATCCACTGAGCCATGCCAGCCAGGGCGGGGTTGTTTTTAGATGGTGATTTATCAGAGGAAATTAAGATAAGCCCTAACTCCCTTTCAGGCATTTGGACTATAAGGCATCATTCACTTCTAGCAGAGGGTCCTGGTGAGAGGATAGATGGAACAGAGGAATGAATGAGAGGGCAGAGAAATTAGAGCAGAGACGAGGCTGAGAACTGGGTGAGCTATGGAATAATATGGAAGAAAATGGGAACACGGAGAAAAGGAAATGAGTCAAAATAAGATAGTTCTCAGATTGCTGCTCAAAAGAAAATTCCACTTTCCCCACAGGTGAGGGTTCTGGAACTGGAAAATGAACTGCAGAAGGAGCGTCAAAAACTGGGAGAGCTTCGGAAAAAGCACTATGAGCTGGCTGGCGTTGCAGAGGGCTGGGAAGAAGGTAAGCCTCTCTGAGGACCTGCGCTACCCCACAGTGAAGGGGGGTGCTGTGTGGGGAGGGCTTTCCCCTTGAATGTAGCAGGACGAGGAGCCCTTTGGTCAATGACCTCCTATTTCTCTGTATCACAGGGCATGTTTTCAGTTATAAATAACTATAAGCCCCAAATGGGGATAAATTGTCAGTTGAAAGCTTTTGTTGTCACCTTTCAAGGCCTTAATGATGACCAGTGGAGTGGTCACCCACCACCATTCCCTTCCAGGTTCAGTAAGCCTGGTTTGTGCCCCAGGAGTTTAGTGTCTGGGCAGCCTAGAGGTGAATAGGGAATGAATGAATCGTCATCAGTGAAGATCCAGCAGCCAGGGACAAGTGAATTACAAGGCTCTGACTGTCCAGAGCCAGCGATGAGCAGCAACAGCCAAAAGATAGGAAGGGTCAGGAGCTAGGAATGGCATGGAGCGAGTCATGTTCGGCCCACCAGCCCAGAGACCCTCTGTTGCTCGGACTCTGAGTGCTGCTTTGCCGCATGTCCACAGTGACCAACTTGATCACAACCAAGATGACCAATTCTTGTTGGCTGGCTCTCGTGTAACCCAGTCCTTTCTGGACATGTTACTTAGGGACGGGGTGGTTATGATTATCATGTTCTTTAGGGCCCCACACGGTGGCGGTTTGGGCTAACTGAATGTGTGCATGCAGGAAGAACTATGAAACCTGAATGGTTGTTGCTGTCTTTTAGGAACAGAAGCATCTCCACCTGCACTGCAAGAAGCGGTGGCCGAAAAAGAATAGAGCCGCACTGATGCCCCACACGTCACAGTGTAAATCTCGGTTGGCCCTTTATGTGTGCGTTATTCCCCACCACAGACTGAACCCCTGCAGTCGCAGTGGCGGCCACACCACTCCCATTGTCCAGTGCTCAGGACCTGCATGGCCTTCCAAAGACTCCCTCCACAGTGACGCCCTTTGTGTCGGAACCCGTGATCTGTGCTCTTCCCCCGCCTCCCTGGTGTCCAGAGAGGACGGGAACAGGGCCACCCCCACAGAGAGGACCTCCCTCCCAGTCCTGCCTGCTGTTTTAGCCTTAAACAATCAGCGTCCTTGTCCGAGGGGCTGTGGTGGCTGTGGTTGAGAGCCTGCGGAGGGAAGGTCTTATGCGTTTTCTTTTCTGTTTTCTTCTCAGTCTTTTCAGTTTCATCACTTGCACAAACTTGTGAGCATCAGAGGGCTGGCGGATTCCAAACCAGGACACTACCCTGAGTCTGTGCAGAGTCAGAAGGACAGGAGGAGTGTCCTGGCTGAGAATGCCAAGGCAGTGCTCCCCCTCTTTTTGGCAGTTCCATGGATTCCCACTGCTGCTTATGGTGATTGGCTGGGTTTTGGGTTTTCTTTTTTCAAGTTTCGCTCACATAGCCAACTCTCCCAAGGGGAACACCTCTGAAGCTCTGAGCTCCCAGGAGCCCCTGACCACAGCAGTTAACAGCAACGGTGCTGCTCAGGCTCTACCTTGGTGCTCCCATCAGCCTCCAGGCTGAGTCTCCTGCTGAGCGTGGGTCAGCCGAGGCCACTCCCCAGGGTCGGGCGGAGCTGCTGAGCCACAGCTTTCCTCCAAAGGCAGAAGTGGAGGGAGTGCCTTTCCTCCCCAAAGCTGGAGCCCAGCTGCCAGCCTCTGCCCACCTTCACAAATGAAAGGGCCACAGAAAGAGGGAAAGGAGGGGTGCACACAGCCCAGGTCTTCAGGAGACGCCTTTCTCTGGAACTCCTCGTGACCAGGCTGGAAAACCTTATCACATGCTTGAATGGAGCTGGTGAGAATAGCCACACCTCTTCCCCCAGAATGAATTTTCCTTGTCACCTCCCTTCAGACCCAGGCAGGGCCCCCAGAAGGCGCTTGTGAGGGGTTTTCAATTCCTTTCTCTAAATGTCTGCCTGCCTTTGGTATCCTCTTGAATCTGAAGAAGCTAGTTCCATGTTCTACCTAATGACAGACCCAGAAGATCAGACAAACTTGCTCCCAGTAGGAAAGAACCCCGTGCTTGGCTAGGTTCCTTTAATATTTATTACTAACCTCCATGAAGCAGCAGCAGCAGCCTACAAAAAGACGCTTAGAGCAATCAGGATTTCAGGTGTGACTGTAACAAGGCTTGCATTGCTGCCCTGTACATCAGTCTTCAAGAATTGGAAACGAGGCCAAGATGCCATCCCAATCTGTCGCCGGTTTGGATCGTGAAGCAAGCAAGGTTCCTCAGAGTTTCTTGGGCAGGGAAAACATGAAGGAGGACCATGGCTCCGTTCCCTTCCAGCCACATGTCCCGGGCCCTCACTGCCCTGTGGACGGGATGAGGGCGTGTCAATACCCTCACAGAGACGGGCAGCCCGGCAGCACTCCTCCACCTCCAGATGGACCCAGCATTCAAGTGACCTTTCGATCTTGGACAAACAATGTCTTCCTTATCTGTAGCAATTCATAGGTAGCAGCCAACAAGCACTTCCCAGGACCTGTCCCAAAGGAACATTGTAAATGTGGCTATGTGACAGGTTGTGAGACTCCTGTTTGATCACTGTGAATCAACTCCCCCCCAATATCCCCCCAGACTCCGTCTCTGCATTCTCTAAGTAGGGCACTCAAAAAACTGTCTCCCTGTAGCTCAGATGATGAGACTCAGATGTGTGATCTCCACCGTAGGCTAAAGAGGGTTCAGTAGAAACTGCGCACTCATGTTTAACGCTTCTTTGTGCTCAGCGTTTTCCCATCCGACGCTCAGAAGGAGTGGTGTGTGGCATCCCGGGCCCACTTGTGCCAATTAAGCCAATCAGTATGTTCTCGGTGTGGATCAATATTTCCATAGGTGGTTAGTCCCCATTTTCAGAATCTCAGCCGCTCAAACAGTTGTGCTTCGGGGAAAGTCTAGTATACTGGGCCAGATAAGGACTCTGAAAAATCACTCCCTCTTGAAAAGAAGCCTCAGTAATTTTTAAAATCTTCATGGGCTTAGCCAGTAATGAAGCCATGAAGAAAGCACTTAAAGAGGAGCACAGGCTCCATCAGTCTCACGTGAGGCAGTACCTGTCACGTCATTACTTCCGCCATTGCTCAGGTTTGGAGCTAGCCCATTCTCTAGCCAAAGTCAAATCGCCCTGTCTTGGCTCTTCTAAGAATGTGTGGTACACCTTGATGAAAACAGAAATCATCATATCCTAAAGCTAAAAGTGAACCTCACAGCCTTTTAAATTAGTCACTGAGCATCATCAGTGACTGGAGTATCATGGGTCAGTGTAAATGGGTCACGAGAGAGGACAACAGCAAAAGAGTGGCTTAGGATTGGCCAGAGGTTGAAAGGCAGCCGCATCTATTTAATTTTGTAATACGGTGCTCTAATACCTCTAGAATAAGGGTGTGTGTGTACATAATAAGGAAAAAAAATAGAAAAGACCTGCTTTTGTGGGGTTATTTTATATCTGAACAAGGAGTTTAAATTAGACTATAATTAAGATTGGTCCCTAGGATTCCCACCTAAATATGAGTCCCCATTCCTTTGGCTGGAATTACAAAACGTCCAGGGCATTCTTTCTTGGAAGTGTTTGAGCTGTCGCGTCAGACACCAAGCACCATGGGGGTCACAGGTGCCTGTTTTTCAGTCAGGTTGCTATGCTGTGGCCTCACTAAGGAGCAGCTGGTTCTGAGCTTACACCCAGGAAGTGCTCACTTATTGCCAGCTCCTTAGTCTAGAGCAGCAATTTTTCAGCTGGCATGCTGTAAGAATTTTTAAAACAGGCAATACTGACTATTTGGACCTCTTTTCCCTGAGATTGTCATATTGAAAAATGACAGTAGCCAACACAGCAATAGCTGACTGGTGTGAATGCCCTCACTTGAGCCACGAATAGAGTTGTATCTTATTGGTCACATCGCATCTTCAGGTTGGGTCTTTAATTCTTGGTACCAGAAATCCTTATAAACAGGTCTAGGCACTGCATCCAATTTTTAGTCACTTTGGAGCAAAAAAGGGTAGGTAATTGCTTTTTTGGGGGGGGTGGGGATAAATCAAAACTATACCTATTTTTTGTCAGATGAGCAAAAAAATATTTTTTTTGGTGTGCTGCAGAATTTTAGTAGCTTATGTGTGCCATGAGATGAAAAAGGTTGAAAATCGCTGGTCTAGAGGGGTCCTCTGGCTCCACTTAACCTGGTCTTGAATTACTGTCAAGTTCTTGCTACCTTCTGCCACCTTTCCATACCTCTGGAAATCCCTCCTGCCAACAGAAGCCTTCAGTGCTGTCATTGGCCTTCAACCAGATCGGCTTTGCCCTCTCCCTCCGCCGTCCTCTGTCCTCCAGAGACCGCACTGCCACAGTATGGAACACCACCACCACCACAGGCCTGCCAGCCCTCAACACCGCCGACTGGCGAGCTGTCTGCCGCTCAAGTCCATGGTCTCCCGGGTCCAGACCAAATAAGGATCGGCGACCTGCAGTGGTGGCCCAGCCTTTCACCCCAGGAGCCAAAGCAACATGAAACAATTGGTTCGATGCCATTGGGTTCAATTCTGAGAGTAGATCATTTCCAGACAGGTCTTTCAGGTGACCCTCAACTACCTCAGGTTTGAAGGCCCTAAATTAAGCTGATTATTCATAGGGCCAAACCGAGGGGGTTCAGGTAAATCTTGGTGATAACACAATTGTCTCTAACTTTTAACTCTTTCACACTTAGGTCTGCAGGGATGGGGTTGGGTTTGTTTTTCTTTTCTGTTTTTAACCTTTCCCCCCATTTTCCATTAGAATAGTTCTTATAAATGAATTTCATTTTTCACGGAGTGCCTACCTTCCCGGGGCAGGTAGCCACTGGCTTTTGTTCCCTTCCAACGATACTTTTATTATGGTATTAAGACCTTTCTTTGTAAAAAACATTGCATCTGTGTTTTCAATTTTTCAAATAAATATTTCAACCTGGCAATGGAGAGTAGCAGTGATAACTGACCAAACAAAGTGGTTTTAAGGTCTAGGGCTCATTAAATCCACTTAAACTCTGCATCTCTGGGAATATGTCCCCAACACAACATTTTCCGAAGCATTGGACTCCTGTTGCATGTCCTTTGCTGTTGTAGGGAAACTAGGTTGCACCATCCTCTGTACCCTCTCCTCCCCCGCCCCTCCTCTCCCCGAGGAGGATCAAAGTGCCAGAGTGGAGAGCTCTCTAATTTGTCTGGAAGGCCAGGTCTCTGCATAAAACCTGGGACCTTAGGTTATGGGTATGCCCTCCTCTGCCTTCCAGATGTCAAAGTAAACTGCTGCCTTAACTGGTTGGGACAGATTTTGCTCAGGGACAGAAGCTGCCAATCGTGAGAAGATGCAGAGCCAGCCAGTCACAGCTACCAGGGGGGTTTTCAGAGGGATCTGACAGACTGGGGCTGGTTGTCCCTGGCAAGATTGTCTGCAACCTTATGCTTGCCAGTATGTTAAGCCAAGGGGGCCTATAGGGAAGGAGCGGGTCAGGTGGGTGAGGGCAAGACCTGGGGTTGGTCAGCAGAGAATGAAGCAAGTAATTAAAAGCAATAGTGTATATGGAGGTCAAAGAACCCCGGTGAGGGGAGCGGGGAGAAATAGTGTTGAAATCACCCAGTAGGGAAGACTATCTGGTTAAATACAGAAGATGGGGAACACTTGCCTGTGGCTGGGCTTTCCTCACCTTAGCAGAATGCAAAGGTGAGCCCACTCCATTTGAAGGGTCACTGACAGACTGGTCACTTCTTGGTTATAGCTGTCTTGCAGATCAAGTGTGATTCTAAGAGTCTAGAAAGCCAGGCAGGGGACTGCCTTGAGAGACGGGGCGTCCATGCTTTGAAGTGTCCAGGGCGTGGGTCTGGCCTGGGCCAGCAGTGCCTTTCTCCCCTTCCAGAGGTACTCCAGTTCTCAATGGCCCCCTGTACCTACATATGGCCTTGACCAGTTGCCCCAAAGGCTCTGGTGCTCATGTCTGAGTGGTCTTCCTGGGGTCCTGTGGCTTGCTCTGCAATTCTAGAAAGGTAGCCCGGCTAGCTGACCACTCTGGCTATTATAAGTAGTCCTGAAATCAGGCCACCAACATGATACATGCCATAACAAAGGGGTTGGGGAGGGGGCCAAATTCATTTAGGGGCCAGGGGTGGCCCTGCCACAGTAAAAGGGAATAAAGGGTTGAAAATGCGTGAGGGGAAGAGAGCCTAGGTGAAATCTAGGCCAAGGGCACATACAAGAAGCACACTATGCACTGTTGTGACTTAAAGCCAGTGAGTTAATCCTGCTTATCACGGTTGTCCTCAGTCTTAAACTCATTGCCCCAGTGTACAGTACAGGCCTTCAAACATTGTGGAGTGAGTGAATGCTCTTTTTACAATGGATTCTTAGTTTTACATGTATTTTATGCATCCATTCATTGTGCAGGTGCTGAGATTTTTCAAAGATGAAGATTCCTCCAAAGTTGCACTCATGTATTCACAATTTGTTATCAAGTGTCTGCTTTTATCATGCACTGGAAATGCAGTGGAGAGCAAAAACAGACATGATCCTGTACTTCTAGAGTTCACAGGCTGTTGAAGGAAACAATTAGGATAATTAATCACAAAAACAAGTGTATACCTGATTGGAGTAAATGAAGAAAGGAACATGATAGCGTGCTCTGAGCATATAAGGAGGATCAGAGAAAACCTTTCTTGATAGTGGTAGCTGGACTAAAATTAAGATAAAGAGTGTGAAGAGGTTGATCAACTCTGATGCGTCACTAAAGGGACTGAAAGGCCAGTGTATCTGGAGCCCAAGCAGAGCGCCACACAGTGAGTCTGGGCAAAGGCAGGAGCAGCTCATGCAAACGTGGGGAACTGTTGATGGGCTTTAGGCAAAGAGCTACCAAAATCATATTTGCATTTTGAAAAGACTGTTCCAATGCAGCTCGGAGAACATGAGAGTGGAGCAAGAGTCAATGGGAAATCCAGTAAAGCTAAGAAGCTTTCATTTTGTTCCACAGAGTAGCAAGCTATTGACCGGTCTTAGGTAGGAGGACAGGGCATCTCCCATCCTCACCTCCTGTGTTCACCAGTCAGACTGGCCAACTGAAAACACTTCTTTTTGCAGGCTGACTCATTGTCACCCCACAAGATCTTTCCCAGCCCCCTTGGCCTTTCACGTCCTGCAGTCCATTAAGTCTGCATCAGGCCACCTCACAGGGCGCACGGGCTCTGTAACCCTTCTTCCTCTGTCCGTGTGCACCATGGTCCCTTTCTGAGACAAAACTGAGCCTAAATGTCGCTGGTGACACAGCAGTACTGTTTCTAGAGAAAGGGTTAAGTTTCTGAGTTAAATACCAAAGTCCTTGGAAGCATCTCGGACTGTCCTTCAAGACCTCTAGTGAACTTTCCATGTCTCCTAATTAGTTACATTTTGTCCTTACACGACCAACATTCACAATCAATTCTGAAAACTAAATTGTATTCAATTTCTTTTTAAAAGACTAATATTACAACAGGTATGTCCTCTTGAGTCATGCCAACTCAGCAAACATCGCTGAGTTCATATTGTACACAAGAGACTGGGAAAGAGAAAAATAAGATATGGTTCCTTCCTAAGGATCTTTCACGCTTGGAAGGAAGACAGACACATACGTTAGAAAGTGAAGTATACATAAGAAGGGAATGAAACACTATTTCAAGAAACCTAGCACTATTCAAGGGAAGGAGAGAAATCAGGCAATAACTTCATAAAGCAATGGCATCAAGGAAGGAGAAAGAGGTGAGAATGCTTCAAGACTAAAAAGAAGTCAGAGGAGGTAGGAATTGAAGTATGACAGAAATGAGAGGTATGCTGAAGCAGATTCCTTGAGATGCAAATTCATTCATTCCTCCCACCAGTTCTTACTCAACATTTACCGTGTTTAAGGCACAGGGATACAGTGCCAGGGACACTGTACCCCTCTAGAGTGGGTAGTCTGGTGGCCCAACTGACACTGAACAAGTGCAAGGCAAGACCCAAAGGGTGCAGGCAAAGGAGGACATGGCAAGGGAACTGGTGCATTCAAGGAGGCCAGGACAAGCTTCCATGAGGAAATGACACCGAGGCTAGAACCTGAAGAGTAAGTAGAAGTTGGCAGGGAGAAGAGTGAGGTGAAGAATATAGTCATGCCTTGGTGCCCGTTGGCTTCAGAACTCGTCAAACCCACTTGGTGCTTGCTCAGGACCCATTGCATTTGCTAGAACTTGTATGAGTCACAACACCGCCCCACAAGAGAAAATTCCTCAGCATTTGGTACTCGTCGGTTTTGGCACTTGTCACAAATCCTAGAGTGAATTAACGCTGAGTACCAAGTTACCACTGTACTGCAGGCAATGTTAATAGCAATGAGAACTTGGCACATTGAAGAATGACAGCAGCCCTGTCACTTATGCGTGAGTGATTTAAGGGCCAAATTGCAGAAAGCCTTGAGTTCCTTTTGAAGGATTTGGTGCTTTATGCTTGGGATTTTAAGCAAGAGTGTGATACAACACCAGCTATCACCTCCCATCTAAATAGCTTCAGTGGCCTCCTAAATCTTACACCTAAGCCAACTCTGCCCTCTGCCAAGCCTTTCTCAGTTTTCAGCTAGTGCAATCATTCCCAAAGTCACATCTGATCTTGTTACCCTCCCTCCCTTCCTTAAAAACTTTCAATGACTAGAAAGGTCTGTTTCAATGGAAAATTATAGTACAACCTTGTGGATATTAAATTGTAGTCCTCTTCATCATCTTTAAGGTTTTATTATCTATTTATAAACGGAACCAGATCTTGAATTTCTCTAATTTCCTCCCATATCTGGCTACAACTCTCCAAACTAACAATTGCACTTTTTCTCCCATCCTGCTGCAGAGACATTCACACTGAAAACCAGGACAGTCTGTCACATTGCCACTGCCTGTCCTCACTCCATCTGTCTAACATCTAGAAATCTTCTCGACTGCCCTCTGAACTCAAACACTGAATTTACAGTTTGTTCCAACCATTAGCCTTCATTTTTCTTTTGTTTCTGTAGAAATGCTTCTTACTAATGCCTGATTGCTCACACCACATAGAAGCCTAACTTTGGTGGGAGTTCCCCTGCAAAACTGCCTCCTGAAATGAGATGCAGCTGTTTTTCTGGACAGGCCTATTTCCAGGCCTGAGAGACTGGGTCAGTGGGTTATGGGACAATCTACCAATTCAGTCTCTGGATTATGAAACTTCTTGGGGAGGTTTCAGACAGGCGATACAGGGTCCAGAACATGCTACCCTAAAGTACAGTACTCTGGCATACTGAATATGTTATGGTGAAGGAATCTGAGGAAAAAAAATGCACTGGAAGGACTCTCAGACATTCCGCTAAACAGATCATAAAGCCCTCATGTGAGAAGTACACTCCCCAGAGGAAAGGAGCATCTTTTTTTCTTTTTTCTTTTAATATATTTTATTGATTATGCTATTACAGTTGTCCCATTCCCCCCGTTCTTTCCCCTCAACCCTGCACACCCCCTCCCACCCACATTCCCCCCTTTAGTTCATGTCCATGTGTCATACTTAAAAGTTCTTCAGCTTCTACATTTCCCATACTATTCTTACCCTCCCCCTGTCTTTTCTACCTACCATCTATGCTACTTATTCTCCACACCTTTTCCCCCTTACTCCCCCCTTCACTCCCCTGTTGATACCCCTCCATGTGATCTCTATTTCTGTGGTTCTCTTCCTGTTCCAGTTGTTTGCTTAGTTTGCTTTTGTTTTTGTTTTAGGTGTGGTTGTTAATTATTGTGAGTTTGTTGTCATTTTACTATTCGTATTTCTTATCTTCTTTTTCTTAGATAAGTCCCTTTAACATTTCATAAAATAAGGGCTTGGTGATGATGAACTCCTTTAACTTGACCTTATCTGAGAAACACTTTATCTGCCCTTCCATTCTAAATTAAAGCTTTGCTGGAT